AAAACATGGTTAATAACGATTCAACTAAGAATTCATCATAGAGATTATTATCATTTCTTTCAGATACAAAAGAAAGAAATGTGAACTGTTTAAGGTTTATGTAAAACAAATCTTTCATGTACATCACAAAGGAAATTAGATTTGTCATCAGATTAAAATTCTTTTTCTCTGTAGTTGTTTCTTTGTCACTTGTCGCCGTCTATATGAAAAATATTGTACATGTAAAAGCTATGTTGTATAAATGTTTTTAATATTTATTTTTTAATTTCTCCCAATTATATAGGTTATTGTCCATACAACATATCTTCAGGGAATTCCTATTATATAGAAAGAATACCTATTTCTGTCTTTATTATACATTAGCACATAGGAAATCTTGCTATTAGTTTAAGAATAAAAGTCCATTTTCTTGAAAAATAAGCAACTCTTTTCTTCCAAATAGACTTTAAGTAGGTAACAAGTTGGCTTGTTACGTTATTTAATTCTTTGATGTATCGATGACAGTTCTGTTTATTAGATTTTCGGAACCGATGAAACTGACTATCGAATGACTGCTAGAGATGATACCATACTAGAGGAAAGAAATTACATTTGGAAGGAATAAAGACTCTGAACGAAGATGCTGGAATGTTTAATTAAGAATAAATAACTGAGAATAGTTGCCAAAATTTTTTTATTAAATATTAATAGCCTAATATCTGCATTAATATATATTTATATCGCAGCATATCTTTGTTGTCGTGCCAAGTACAACCGGAACTATTTTTTTAATAAAATAGTTTGAAAGATTGCTAATTCTTGAAAAAAGAGTAATCCTTCCTAATTAGGAAAAAATCTTCATTTCTATTATTTAGTTAATGATTGACACTCCATCCCGGTCTGTATCAGCATTTATTACCCTAGCAAGACCTCCTGAAAGAGAGTTGTTCATAGATACGGTTGCTGATTTTAAACCAATCGTTTTAAGTAGATAACTTTTAAAAGTACGATTGGTCGAAGCGTATATTAAACAATTCCAGAAACTGTTCAAAAATAAGATTAAGGTGATTAGTAATTCTCCAATTGCAGTCCAGTCAAAATTCACTTTACTCGCTTTTAACACTATTCTCAAAACTGTTGGAAACCATGATAGATAGAAGCAGAGAAGCATTAAAACGAGCGTTTTCAGAGCTTTTTTGTTGTTTCCCTTGACACCTTTTTTGAAACTTATAATTGAAAGTCTTATATACATATATATAAGGGAAAAGGAAGTTAAACCAAATAAACAAAATAAACTAATTAACCATAATACTTTATTACTGTGAACTTCCGCCGTACAAACCATCGTACTGACATTAAAGTAAACTCTATTCGTAAACCATGACGGTAGATTCAAAATTGCAGAGAAAATCCAAGCAAAGCCAATTAATAAGAAGGTTCTACTTTTCGACATTAAGAAATGATAGTTCATTGGACGAGTAATTGATAGATATCTGTCAAAATTTAATAAAAATATTGTTGCCAATGATAAACCACCAAAGAATGATACTAATAAAGCATTTATCTTACATACGGCCATATGCAATTTACCGCTAAAAAGAATACTTAAAGGGTTCATACCAAGATTTAAACCAAATAAAGTATCAGTAATAGATAAATTTACCATTAACCATCCTGCATTAGTTTGTAATTGTTTCCATTTGAATATCACAGCAATACATATCAGATTTCCAGTTAATATTAAAGCGATGACGATTGAATAAACTGCTATAAGGGGATAAGACGCTTTATATGTTTTAAATATGTATTCAAGATCATCTGAGTCGTTCATTCCGCGCCAAGATTGTACGATTTTCTGTCATCTCTCTTAGTTCTATGTTTATTATCCTTATAATTCTGTTTTCTTTCAACTATCAATAAAGGCATATTAATTAATGATTAGCAAATTGCTTCTCTCTCTTTAGAATCAAGTGAGTTAAGTAGTTTTTTACAATGAGATTCAATCTCATTATTCTCTTCTTCATAATTTCTACTGTAAATTACTTTTCGGATTATCAATTTTCTTTAATCTAGATGTCTCACTATATTTATTTCTTGCTCCTAACATAGTCCAAAACACGTAAATATTCGTAATAATAATAACCTACTTCAAGGTGAAAAGTATAAACACAATTAAATTTCTAAGAGAAAAGAATCTATAGTAATATCACAATATCTAGTACCATTCATTTGTTTCTTCATATTTCTTCAAACATATTGGCTTTAAAAAGATATAACTGCTTCTATTCCAGATTAAAATAATATCTACAATATGTTCAGTATGTAACCGCTGTATGCGTCTGTGAAAATTGTTATATTATTTATTACATAATAGACAAAGTACGTGAGTCGAGAGCATCAATCCTATCATATGGAAAAGAGATCCTCAGATTGATAATGAGTTTCTATTCCCAGAGTGAATCTTCTTAAATTTTAACAAATGCTGACCTAATCGCCTTTCTCTCTTTCTCTTTATCTCTCTCTCTCTCTCTCTCTCTATATATATATATATATATAAATATATATATATATATATATATATGGACATATGTCCATAGTTCAAAACTATTCGGTTATATTGAAAACTTAAATAATCTTTTAGAGTTCTCTATTTGCTAGACTTCTTTTTACTTTATTTTGTCATATGTTGTAAAGCTGCCTTTAGAAGACCGCTAAAAGAAATTCAAAGTTTGCTCATGATAGTTCTGAAGAAAACCTACTAACCAATTATCGGATGAAAGAGCTGAAAAAATGCCCTTATAAAAAAATGATAATGTTCAGAAGAACTACGTTACTTTAACTTGTTATTAGTTCAATGATTGGTTAAAAAATATCTATTACATCTTGAGGCAATAAACTAACAGTCTATGGATCAATATTTTAGGCCACAAAATTAGCCTGAGGACCTTTTTCGATTGGCTTACATCGAGGAGATAGAGAAGGACTCTGGAGTCCAAATAATAGAGTGGGTAATTGCACAGTACATACTTGCAAAATGCTGTATGATTCTCGTTAATGTCAATCTATCGTACGAAGCAGCTGAATTGGAACATGTAATGAGGAAATTTGATGTCAACTTCTTAAGAGCTGTAGTTTCTCTTTAGAAATCAGTCATTTCAAATTATTCCTACATAAGAAAAGAAGAAAACAAGAAAGTGAAATGTGTCATATTTGCTATCCTGTACCATTCGTAAATTAATGTAAACTTGATATAAACAATTTAAAGTAATTGCTATATTCTAGTCTGTTTCATGCTTGGTTCGAGAATTACGATCGCTTATTACCTTGAAAGATAATTTTCTTATTTGATGGTATTTAGTTATTTTATAATGAAACATCCAGTATTTGTAATTAGAAAAAACTTTTTCTTCTAGAGGCAGTTTCCCACTTAATGATCTTATGCAAACTATAAATTCGACAGATAGAAACACTCTTGAGGATGTTCAAAGTAAACTAAACTTTGATGATCCAATAGACATTCAATTTAGAGCGGTTCGGTTGATTTCATCCCTTATCCGGGCAGTATTGACGAATTTTTTCCAGGGTACAACTGAAATTCCCAAAGGCAGCTGTTTTCTCTCATCATAACATTGTGAATAATGCCAACTCTGTCGGGTCGGAGGATGAGGTATCACGAAAGGTTAAATAATGAGTTTTACCAGTAACACTGCACCCCTCTCTTTTAATTCAAATCAACTGTGTTATACTGTAATATACTTTCAAACCCTGACGCTAAACTGACCATTGTACTAAAATATTGTGCTTTAAAATTAAATATCAACTATTAAACCATTTCATCCATTATTATATTTAATATAGAAGAACTTGGTTACATGTCGTCTGCACTATGCAATGTCAATGACCCTAATTTCAGGGTTGTTGTGTTTTCATCACTGCTTTAGAATAGTATTCTAATAGTTGATAAATACGATGTATGGTTCACTTTGCAATCATCAGCTTTAGTACTATATTCAAGCCAGATAAAGCCTTGTAGAAGTAATCAAATGGACATGAATGTCGGTAAATTTCATATATTAGCTTTATATATTGCGTTAAAACAATATAATTGAATTAAGTATTGAAGCGTTAACGGTCCAAGAATAGATAAGGTAAAGAATTTTTCATTTATCAGTTAAATAGAATACTAAAAATTTCAAAACAAGAATATTAGAAACATCTATTTCTCTAATTGAGATGACTGAAAGATATATTGGTAAAATGAATACAAATGAAGCATTAGTAAATTGATGGTTATTTCTGGAATAAATTATTAAAGATTAGTCACATAATCGTTGATAAGTCTACGATCACTTTACAAGCCTATTTACCATATGATTTCTATGAAAAAAACTATCAGAGCTTGCCTGATTTATATCAAAATAGTTTACTTTTTTTTCCCCTCATTTACTTAAGTAAAGTAAAGTAATAAACCTGTGCGTGTTTTCTTATAAACTACGTTAAAAAGGTTTAAAGTGATTGATAATGATGGAAAGACCTTGCATTTTGGTTCTATTCATAAATTATGTACAAAGCCATAGACAAGTAAACTAGGCTATTCGAATGGTACTAGGAGACAGACGAAGTTATAGAATATGACAGCTAGCATATCACTGAGAAACAAGTTTGTATAATTCTTTCATTTAGTTGAATAGAATCGGGATCTTGTGGGGGGAAATATCAGTGATTTAATATATTCTCGGTGAAAATGGCTATAAAAGAAAAAGAGAAGAGAAAACTGTGAAAACAAGATAAGATGACTATAAATTTTCCAACCAGGAAGTAGACTGCTTTCGTGAAAGATGTAGAAAAACAAAAATATTATGTCTATATACTGGAGAAGATTAAAAAAGCTGTGGATGCCGTATAGGATAGTCGATAAGTATTTGACGAACGAAGTATTTCCTTTTCGCAAAAAACTTTTATAGTAAGAACCATTAAAGAAAGTTTCAAAGCTTTTAACTCTAGTTTATTAATACTCATGTATTTATTTTATGCTTTTTTATTAAACTTTTTTGTTTTTTAAACTGAAAAAAAAGATTATTTTTCAGAAGACTTTATTAATTAAAAGTCAAACACAAAGCACTTAATTAATCGATGCTAATAACATCCATAGAGAAAATAGGACGCAAAATGAGTACAAGAATTGTACTTTACTACTACAAATAAACGGAAAAACAATGTAAAAACATTAGAATTGGGTAGTTTTTTGTGTTAAATTATTTTGAAATCTTTTCTTTTTTGCATTCTGACGATTCAAGTGATATTATTATTGTAAATATTCAATTTAGTGACGTTTTTGTTTTGTAGGTATAGACAAAATGAAAAAAAAAATGAGGAAAGTAAACTAAGCGAGGCAAGGAAACAAGGTTTAGCTGAAAAACGGGTCGTAGGGGAAAAAAATAGAGGATAGATGGACAGATAGAGAGATAGATAATAAAGTACTATATACGTCGATTAATATCGAAAACTGAGAATACAAAAAAGAAAATAACCAAGAAAATACGTAATTCATTTTCAAAAAAACCATCTTCTTTAAAACTTATTCATCTAGTCGTTTGGCTTCTCAGAAGCTCTCCTTCCATTCGCCAAATAAGGCCTGAGAATTATATGAGTTAAAATATCAGTCAAGGATATGATACCATCAACTTTCATATCATCGTCTACAACAATCAACCTATGAACTTCAGCCAGTACAGATTTCTCCATAACTGTTCGTAAACTATCTGTTCTTTTGCAAGTAACGATCTGCCTGGTGTGTTTCATTTTATTATTAAAAACTGCATGTATTTCTTTATCCAAATCGGCATAAGATCCGTTTGCAGCCATTTCTATAGCATCAAACTTTGTAAAGATATCAATACAAATCCCTGAAGAATTGATAACTGGCAATGCAGAAACTTTCCTTTCGATAAATAAACGTAAAGCTTCAATCACTGCCGAATTTTCCTGAATGCAAATTATGTCGTTAAACGTTCCAACCTTTAGTTCTGGAAAGAAAACGAATTTATCTATGTAGCAGAAATAATATATGCAATGTGAATAATCAAACAACATAGCTATCACTATGCCATATATAGGCTGTTACGTTTCGTACCTTCTATTGATTTTTCCAAAAACTCAGGTTGGGTCATATCGAACAAATGGAGAAACAAATATCTTAAAATTCGTTTAAGAGTGAGAACAAATAAGGCGTCTCCAGTTGACGCGTCTACAACGGGTAACCGGTGAATTCTATTGTCTATTAAAGTTTTAACAGCATCCATTAAACTAGCTTCGGCGTCTATTCGAATAAAAGGCCGTTTTACTTCAAAATACGCGTCTCTCACTGTCATGCCGTCGAATTGTTCAAATTTTAGTTCGGGTGTTGTATAGAATTTATGGAGTGCCCTTATAAAATCATTCATAGTTAGTAGGCCCATTACATAACGCTTCTTTGAGTCCCAGACTGGAGCTGCACGAATTCCCTGACGGATAAGAGCGAAGAAAGCTTTTCTAGCCTGTAAGGACATCTAGTGTATATTACAAAGCTAAAATACAATTCAAGAACACCTTAAAAAGTCAATAAAGAAAATTTATCAAGCGTTAAAAATGAGAATAGTTGATTACAAAGAAAAAGCAGGCTAATTTTAATAAGTTAAGAGAACTTAAGAAGTATTTTATATATATATACATTTTATATATAAATCTATTTCTATATTTAGATATTGTCTTTCTTATCGCAATGTTTACTAAAAAGAAAAAACCTACTAAAAATGACAAAGTTTAAATGGCCATAAAAGAAATAATAATAATAAAAACAAGATAAAAAACAAACTAAAGTTTGTAATTGGAAATCTTAAAAAACAAACACTTTGAACTAACATTGTCAAAAATTCTATTTAACAAAATATTCAATTACAGTAGATTGTTAACATATTTAACAAATTAATGAAAACAGTATATACTGTATTTCTCATATATTTATTATTTATATATTTATTCGTTTGTTTATTTATTTTGCTGAATAGGCTACTCCATACCCGGTATACCAATGCTCAATACAAATAGCTTGCATTTATCTATATAAATCCCTCCTATATTATTATTTCTTTAGATGGCCTATCCATTAATTTCAATAGCCTTTCTCTAAATTTTTTCCTCCCCCATTTCTCTAATATCTTTTACTTTCGTTATTCTATATTTCAGTTCAAGAGTGTTAAATATTAAATATTTTGTAGTAGAGTTTTGAATATTCCTTTGTAAATTTATTGTCGTAAACATATTAGTGGCAAATGATAAAAAATTAAAGGGATATATTGATTATAAAGATTAACACTCGAAAGATTCGTATATCCTTCATACGTATTACATATTAGCATGTACTGTATAAATGTATAAATAGTATACAGTATATGAATATATATGAATATGTATGAATATTGATTTTGGTTATCTGGTTATTTGATAAAAATAGATTCCAAAAAATTAGCTATCGGTGAAATATTCTCAACTCAATATTAATTTTAATCTGATTAAATTAAAGCGAAAATGAGCGAACTGGCAAATGTTGTTATTTTTTATTAATAACCTAAAACTGGTTCATTAAAAATTGTCTTCTTAATAGATAGTATCAAGTATACACAGTATTATATCAATTAAACAAAAATCTATTCATACAAGTGCAAAATATTTCTTTAAAATCATATGAACATTCCCTTAAAAATAAGAGTAAAGAGAGTCTGTTTTTGTTATTTATTTAAATATATTCACGTACTAATCTCAATTGTCTGTGTTGTCTATTAGAGCTGTAATAATACTTAAATTTCTTACATATGCTAAGTTTGGTCTTTAAATTATCTCGATTTACATAGCAATTACAATTTCCGAGAAAGTCACGTGATAGTATAAATTACAAATGATTAAAATAACTTTGTTTATCATATACTGTACATATACTACTATATAAATTTATATACAGTATGTATCTACAAAGAATGCAACAAAATATGTACTTACATTTAATTCAAGATCCATTATAATCAACTTAGAACTAGTTGGTATCACATGATAGCACTTGTGAGCTTTCATAAATTTTACAAATACTAATTCATCATTCATATCCAATTTCAGTCTAATCCTATCAAAATTTTCTTGCTGCAGAGAAGAAAAAAAGTAAAAAACTTAAAAAATTATTAATATTTCTACCATAGAATTATATTTATAACAAATGTAAATGAAACGATTCATTCATTCTCTGTTGTTTTTGTTTTCCTTTTACTTTAATTCTTCATAATTTATACAGTATAATAGCAAAAAAAAAAAGACAATGCACAAAAAGAAGAAGGTACTTTTCTTACAAGAACAATAGGATATTGTACAAGTCGGAAGTAATTAATAACAGTGCCTTATAAATCATTCTAAACGGAGGAAGAAGAAAAATAGACACAAATTGTTTTAACCCAAAATCGCTTACAATAAAAAAAAGAAAGAAACGAGAGCGGTATATTTGGTTTTAAATTATTCATATGTATGATTCCTCTTTAACAAATTGAGAAGAGAAAGTACGATGAGTTAAATTAATTATTCACCACCAACTGTTCTCTTCTCCCCCAATAAAGCTTATCTAGCCTATTGTAACCTATCTTTATAATAGTTATATATTTCATTTATCATATATCTTAAACCTCCAAGACTACTGATATTATTCAATCCTCTTCGAATTAAAACATTGCAGTGTACATACTTTACTCACGATTGATTAAGGAACTTAAGATCTAAAAATACATATCTATTTAATTTAAAAGAAATATAATCGCCTAATTTAAATCTCGCTTAACATAAAATTAACAACCCTAATAAAGAATAAATCAGTAAATTTCGATAATACATTTCTAACTATAATTTCTTTGTTTTTTTATACAATGAAAGATGCTTTATGTAGATCATAGGCTGTTTTGCTTGCTAGTCTCATTAAGTTTTTATACTATTTCAAAGTAAAAATATATGTATGCTATATATATATATATATATATATATACTGTATATATTAATATACATTGCATATAATAACAGTCTTTAATGGAAGCTTCTCGAATGAATTATAAAAATAAAAACAATCATAGGTTCTCTTTTTAAATGCTACCAAAAGGATAAAAACACATAACGGTCAAAAGAACAGAAAATTTTCAACAGGTGCCTAGATTGGTAGCAAATTCTGATAGATCTTTTAAAAAGCAGGTATAGTTTGCTCAACGTAGGTAGACTACAGACACTAAGAGAGAGAGAGAGAGAGACAGACAGAGCGCGAAAGAGAGAAAGAGAAACAGTATATTAATGACGAAAACGAACTATCATATTTTTACCGAATATTTCATGAATCTTTTTAATAAGTATCTATTACTTATACATATCAACAAAATGGAAACTATTGTACCTCAACCTTAGCTAGGGCATCGCTCAACACACTACTTTCACTAACACAACGCCGTCTATCTTCACCAATGATTATCCTGTCATTTTCGTCCATCCAGCCTATTAAATTTTCTGCACTAGGCCTATCGACAAAAAATTTCCTCCTATACCACAATTTAGCTTCCGAGGTTCTATCATCATCGTCTATATTCTTTTTACGTTCCTCGGACGCCCTACGACGGCGCCGCGCAAGCCAATCTACGGGATACTTTAAAAAGGCGGCAAAGAATTTCTTCTCTTTCTTCTCTTCCTTCTCCCTCAGTAGCTCGTCCTGGGGCTCATTTTCGCCTTCAGCCGGGTGTCTTTTTCTAACTTCCACACCGGCCATGCTCCACTCTTAAACTAATTTTGTCCCGTAATCGGTTTCATGGGTAACGTTCTTACTCAGTACTCAATTCTGAGTAAATATAATGAAAAATACAATAAACTGATACTCACAGGTGTTTCGGGTATTGTAGGAAGAGATGTTGATCTCGACCTTCTTCTAATAGCAAAAAGGATTTTTTTCACTTTTCCAGTCATTCTAATTTTCGATAAATGCTAGAAAATTTTCGTCAAGGTCGAATTTCGAAACGCTAGCGCCATCTAAAAATAGTCGAAACAGAACGTAAACAAAAATCTTTAGCAAGCTTTTTTCTAGGTTGATCAATAATCCTTCGACGATAGAAAAGGCCTCGTCGGCTTGAAAGTGGGCTAGATGTCGTTAGTTTGTTAATTTTTATTTTACATTATTAGTCAGTAGGTGGTGACGCTATTATATTTTGATAAAGCGTCATCTGTTCTTCTATTGTTAAATAGAAACACTTTGCAAATTGTTTCATTATTATTGGTTTTTTTTTTTAATTTATCCAAAATATTATCCTATATTCAAATTTGATTCATTACTGTGCGTTTCTCTTCTCACAACCATTTTATTAGTATCAATACAAACAGAAGCCTGTTTACGTCCATTTATCTTAGTATTATAAATAATTAACATGAGCATCACTGTTGTAAATGATAATAAATTATTATTTGATGGAGTAACTCAAAAATCAACTATGAAGTGATCAATAAAAATATAATATTCCAACAGCTTTGATATACACTTTGGCTAATAAAATAGCAGTATGTTATGATTAACCTTCGACCTAATGTAATATTCATACAAGCTAAACAATATATCGAATAAATGCTATTGATCCACCGACTGCAAAAGGACAAGAAAACAAAAAAGAGAAGAAATGGTACAAATTTATAGGAGATTCTATTTATCTACCAAGATGATAAAGAGAGAAGCAAAACCATCACATATTTAAATATTGTTTATTATAAATTTTATAGTAGTTATAGTAAACATTATTTATTTGATTCTAAATATAGAAACTCCTAAACGGTCGAGTTGTCGGTATTTTTATATATACTAGATTGTCATAGTACTTTAAATGGCTAGTTAAAAGGATAATAAAATGACCTCTTCAAACGGATATGTTCCCACTTTTCTTTAAAATAACGTTCGACTATTAAAATTAAAGAGATTTCCATTTCAATTGTAATCTTCTACTTTAATTTGAATTGTCTGGTTCGTTAGCGTCACCGTGAAGATTATTTATATTCGTAATGTGCCTTCTCAAGCCAGGCAATTTGCTGTTCGTTATTATATCGCCTTTTCTTGTTGAATTAACGAATTTTCCTCACTTAATATCGGATGTTACATTTGCGAATAGTAAAAAAATTTCATGCGTGTATTCTTTCCATTAATGACCGTATGTCTAAAATTTTAATTAACTTAACTGAACTAGAATATAACTATCTTCTCTGCAATAAATTTCTCTCTTCTAAACCCTTTGTGAATTAGGGCGGAAAGGGACCGGAAGTAGATTAGAATAGAATCCTCAAAAGATGCTTAGCTACTGTTTGCATAGCGAATAGAGTTAGAATTTTTAGTCAAGTTGAAGCCTTATGGAGGATCAAATGGCAAATACAAAAACAGTTGCATCGAAAGAAAGGCTCTGAAGTATTACATAGAAAAATATAATTTCCAGACATGCACAAATTCAATGTTTCGTTGCAAGGAAGCTTTTGTATAATAAAATAAGAACATCAGAATTGGAGACACGGTAAATCGTTTATTTCAGATATAATACCTTAATGTCTCCTCTATATCTCCCGCTTATTTGTATATAATAAAAAATAACTATCATCCCACATTCGGGTGGCCTAAAAGTCCTTACGGAGACTTTGGTCAGTCGACCCATTAATAAAAAATGGAAAGATTCTAAATAAATCATAAAGATTTACCAACTGGGAGACTAATGAGGATAGAAAAACGATAATTAAGCTAATAGTCTAAACAGTTAGCGATAAATTTGTTGCTTGAGAAGCGAGCCTTTAGTTTGACAAGATCAAGTAAAGGTATAAGCCTTATTTGATAAATATATTACATCATAGCAAAAGGGAAATATACATCTATGGGGTATATATACAAATTTTTATATAAGTGGTAAATACAGTTTTGTTGGAATGTTACCCGTTTTTACTCAAACAGTTATATAAAAAGATGATCGAAAATTATAACATATATACTTCTATATACACTGTATAGAGTAAGAAAGCATTTATCCATAATATATTAATCATATATCAACTACAAGTTTATTAGACCAGTTAGAAATCTAGTCTAAAAAGCAGAACATACCTAGCTAATTTTTTTAATTATTTATAATCTTTCAGTTAACATAAGAGTTTTGGGAAGAAAAAGAAGATAAAGAGAAAATTTGGATAAATAGAAACTGAAAATAAAAGATATGCTTATGTTATATCTATTTAACTTTTATTTTACTCTTCTTAATATTCTTGTTATGTTTAATTTTCTTTTTTAATTATTCATTACAATGAAAATATGTCAGTTTTCTTTCTTTTTTAATAAAAGAATTCATTGTCAAATCTTTCTTTTCTCTTTGTTTTCACTTTATTTTCTTACTGTTTTATCATTACTATGATATTCTTATAAATATAGACGGTATAAAATCTTGAAATGCATCTTGTTAATATAACTCTCATTACCATTATTAACAAAGAGCCTTTTTATTCGTATTGTATAATCTACAGACTGTAAAATCTTCCAGGAAACTGTAAGAACCCATTATTCTTCCCAATAAACTTGCTAGAACGACAAATATTAAATATTTCATGCTTAGTTTTCTACAAAATAGAAACACTCCTCCTCTGCCGTATTCCAACAAGCAAGCTACTGTGGCCCATGCAACACTTGTTAAAATTTGTCCACTCCCTGTAAATAATGCCGAATCTACTGCACTCCTGGATGAAAATGCGGCTAGAGCGACAAAATAAGCCAATAGTATAGTTCCCAAGCAGGGTAAAGAAATAAAAGACGCCATTTTTGAACGTGGTGGCAGTAGACGGAGTAAAAGCATGGCTAAAAAGCAGGCAGAGGGGGAACCTATAGTTCCAACGATAAGAGTCTTTGTAGAAAAAAATAAATAGGGGCATGAAGCAGGAGAAAGAACTGATGACAATGGTCCATCATTAACAAATTTTGACCAAAAGGATATAATTAATAATAAGAGAAGTTTTGGCGTCTCTCTTGGCTTCTTTTGCTTTCTAGGCGTTGTATGTCGGATACTATCATCATCTAAAATAAGCACGCTTTCTCTTCTGTTATCCTCGTAATACTTTGATAAGCATTTCAAATTTGTTGCCAATATTATTGCGATTCCGCCAACTACAGTTAGTGCAGCGGTTAAGAACATATAAAGGTTAACGTTAAATCTCAGTGTGTCCGTGCGAGAGTCTTTCAACAATGTTGAATTAAGCTTAACGATTTCCTTCTGCTTCTGTCCACATTTTTCAATTTTCTGTCCTATTATCATCACGTGACCAATAACTAAACCGAACCATTCGCCAGCCAATACAGCAGTTATCGAATTCGACGCTCGTAAACGCCAACAAAATAACGGAGCAGCTACAGAGTGCAATGAAGCGGTGGTGAAAATAATTAAAATGCAGCACCAAGCAGTTAAGGAGATTTGAGTTTCTCGAATTTTTAAAGTCTGGTTCCAAAAAAACCCGAGAACAGTTGACGAAATGCTCGAAAGTCCTAAGCATGTGATTAGTTGACAAGCTGAAGCCGACTTTGTTTTCAATGAAATCAGGCAATAAAGCAAAGCTAAACCATTTGATATGTTGAAGAGGATGAAAAGGCATATAGATACATAACGTCCTTCCGGTAGCCTTTCGGCCAGAATTGCTGCTTCACTCCATACGGCTGAATAGCCAATACTGGCTCCAGATGAGGCAAGAAAAAGCAATGTATATAGGATTTTAGAAGACGGTTCAGTAGACGCCATATTTTCGCATATCGACTCCGTGTGTGGATCGATAGAATTGGCGCCAGTGGAAAATTTTGCGGTCGGTAGGTGGAGCTGTAGTTGCGTTTATTAACTTGATTCTTGCTATGTGACATGCGTCCATAATTACATTTTTTGGTGTTGACAATACAATTTCACTTTCTTTTATTTTGTTCCTATAAAGTGGTAAATTTAAGATGAAACTGATTCTTTATTTCGGTAGCAAAGGGGATGACAAATGATTCGCAATGCGTCAAAGAAAGATTGATTAATTAGTTAAGGATAACCTTTTTTTTTATACCCAAAAGAACGTTTTTCCTCTAAAAAAATCATTACTAAAACCTCCTTGTCCATCACTCATTATAAAAGATAATAGGAAAATAGAAGCTTTGCAGTTGGATATACTCTAAGAATTAGGCAAAGTAACTACTGTTGATTGATTACAGTGGAAATAAGCCAAAATTATTTTATCTAATTTGTATATGTCTATTGAAGTTTAGAGCTTTAATCTTAAAACTTTAAATTTTCACTTGTCCTACCATTAAATCAGTAGCGAAACCAGACGGTAAATCCACTATTTATTCTGCTTTGTTGAATATGGAGTAGTTTGTAAGAATACCTCCCAATACCTCCTATATCACTATTTTATCTATTTGCTTTATGGTTTTTGTCTCTTTGCCTCTTTCTAACGCTACTGCAGCTTTGTATTTTATTACTCTGGCCTAAGACCCTCTAGTATTCTTTTCCTTGGTAAATAGACTCACTATTTGCTTGCACATTCGACTGATTTCCTTTGCTTTTCTCATCGAATAGCTTTGCATTATCAGTTCTTTACATTTTATTTTATAGAATACATTTCTTTGAAATCTAAAATGGAATCAAAATATAGAAATAGAATAAAAAGGCATCAGATTTTTACACATTTTTTCGCGAGGACTTTAACCACAAGCTTTAAATTTTTTTTTGGGCAAACTAATGACAAAGTCACGGCAAAAGTCCATTTACCCAAAAATTGATTATACCGGTTTCTTTTCATAAAAATGCTTTAGGCGCTTATTCCATATTAAGTATAAGTCACATGTGCTTAGTAATATTAATTTATTTATAAATTCAAATGATAGCAAAATACTTTATGTAGAGAGAGAAGGTAGGAGTTGAGGGTGGGGAGAGGGGGAGATAGGGGGAGAAATAATAGAATTTTTCAATCACAACAGTTTTGCAGCATTTAACGAACGTGTTTTATTCTATTTTTATTAATAAATAGTACGATTGTGCAGTATGTGTATATGTCTATATATCTATATGTCCTGATAACAGTATACATGTTTATATTTTTATTCCAAGTGTACTACTATACACTTAGTAACATTCGTTCATAACGTTCTCGTGCATACTTTATACATTCGTATTAACATTTAGTAATAAGGTGAAACTCTTCCGTTACATTTTAATAGCATAGAAAGAAAAGAACTATTACTTTTCTCACAAGGAATTTAATGTATTTTTATCTTGTTAATTCTGCTTTCTTGGTAAAGATCAGCTATATTTAAATTTTACTGGAAAAGATATGCTTAATTCTATTAGAATATTAGCCACTACCAGTTTTGTATTTCATAAAATGTGTCATAATGTTTCAAAAATATGGCGGTAATAATAAATCTAGATTTTAAACCTGTAGCTATGTTCATGGGATGTGAGTGTTTATTAAGATAATAGTAATAAAAAATGCTGATAACTGCAAAACAAGAATATCGGCTACAAACCAAACAATTATAGACACGAATTAGACAGTTTATATATCTTTCATGTTAACTGGTACGCTTGCATGCGTCGACTCAAGCTGTCAAATATTCTCTTCAGTTTCATATAAAGTATCGAAAATATAACAATAGATATGGCATGCAAAAATTCTTTCATTGCAGTCCAGTATGAACCATAGAAGTAGACTTTTCGGGCTTGTGCTTCTTCTAGCTGTAACTGTTATATCAACTATACCAATTACCAATTTAATGGATAAAACTTCTTTTCAGCAGGTATATGAGACTTTTATTGAAATAATATCCTCTTTAGTTAATCTAATAGAACAAATTTTACTTTAAAGTTAGTAGAAAAGAAAATTTCATATGAAGAAGCAATAAAAGGCTGGAAAGAAAACTTTAAGAAAAAACCAATAGAAAGATCATCATTAAATATATGTATTTGGAAGGTATGCGCTCCTACTCCGTGGCGATTGAAGAGATCAGCATTTGTATTTCTTAATTAATCTTTTAAAATCTATCTTTCTTCTCTATTTTTAAATGTTTCTTTGCATAAATAAATGAATTCTTTCAATTTTCTCAATTGAACATTGAGAAAACTATGGAAATTAATTTATTCTTTCGATTGAACAGTTGAAAGACTGTACGTTAAAAGTACATATACGTAGTTATAAGTACATAATTGTTGAAATTGTATATACTAGTATATATTGTAATCGTTTAATTTATCTTCCAAAAGAAATGGCTAGAGAGTTTACGTAAGAATGTAATGAATAATTTAAATTCTCACTTTTCTAAACGCGACTCTACGGACCTTCTCCGCAGACTTTACCTCTCAGATATATATATATTTTTAATATTATTATAGCTTAGTCAGTAAATTCCTTCCATCTTTCATTTGATATTCAAAATCGATAAAAATAATTACTTTTAAAACAATTATCAAAATATTTTTTTTATCTCCTTTTTTCATCTTCTCTCTTATCTTCTGTAGTCTTTAAAAAAACCTAAGAGAAAAAGAGAATTATTGAGCAATGTACATATTAGCATAATACTCGCATACATCTATCAATTAATAGAATCTATACTCTATTGAGGCTAAGTAATAGGCGTATTAATTATTTGTTATATATTGACTTAATGACCTCGAAGCATTCAATTTTCATAATTTTCTGTTGAAATAGTCAAAGTTTGTTATTTTTTCATCAATTTTTATAATTTATTCAAAATGTTTATCAATATTGAAGAAACGAAATGAAATTTCTGGCTTGGATGCTTTTTTTTACTGTCATCCTTATTAAACACAAAACTATGTTTTGCATAGAATTCTCTTCTATTTTTGACAAAATTAATTTTTATAACTAAATATAGTAAATAAACATTTTTATGTGATAGAGTCTGATTGTTACCTACCTGCTGTTGTCATAGCTACAAATATTGGCGGCGCCTTCGTCGACAAGGTAAACGGTGTTGGAATCGATACGGGTGTGCAAAATACAGTACATTATGTAGCACTTGGAGCAGACAGCAAAAAATTTTACAGCAAATATGTCTCAATCATATTGGCTATCCTCAACTCATGTTCAAAGAACTAGGCGAATATTATCAAGAGATAAGTCTTGTTTCAGATTTCATCCAAGTGGATTTCTCTGTTGGAATAGTCGAAATAGCTGCTATGTAGCGGCTGCATCAACCTTCTTTACATGCTCTCTATTATCTGGATATTCGGCATATATTCTTTACGATATAAGAACTTTTCAAAAAAGATACCAAGCCTTCAAATCAGATGTGGAAAAAACAAAGCTAATTGGTTTGAGGAACAGTCCTCTACCGAGTCAAACAGCTGTTGAACAACACTTGTATACAGCGGAATTGGAAAGATCCCTTTTCATATCAGTTCTATGTATGTGTGCGGTGGTTATTTTAGCAGCTGCTGTCCTTATAAAAGGAGTTCAGGAAAAGAACAGAGTGTTATTTTTGTATTGGTTAATAAGTTTATGGCCTTTGCATGTACTAACCGCTTCAACGTTCATGATAGACTGCAAATTTATAGTAAGTCTTTTCTAAAACCCATATATATAACAGTTATAATATGAATGATAGAGAAATTAAGTAGTTATAAATTAAATTCACACTAAATGCATAGTATAACTAAATAACTAATAAATTTATTATTAGCAAACACTTTAAAGATATTTATTTTATGTATAACATTTAATTTATCCGCTAAATTAAATAACCCATTGAATTAACTATTGATAAGTCTTTAATAAAAGTAATATCCATTCTGTTATATATATAAGAATATAGATTATAGGTTTGTGGAGAGTCGTCTTCGTATTTCTATTTGATGTAGGAAAAGCCCCTCAAACTCCCAAAAACACTATAGATAGAAATAAAAGAAAGGGAACTTTTCTCCTATAATGTTTTTTATTAAGACTTTTGTTTAATGCTTTCATATTTACTCTTGCAAAAGGGAAAATCTGCCGAAGACTAATTTATTTAACTGTGTGAAAAGAAGTGAGATACAGAAAGAAAGATGATTATAAAAAGAGTGAAAATTCCGTTTTTTCCATCTATTTTAATTCTAATTTTTCATAGATTTCTTCTTTTTTTAGATACTTTTCAACGAAAATAATCAATTAGGTGAATTTATGTCTCATCTACAAAAATGCTACTATTTTTAACTTGAGATTCAATAATAAATATACTTAAAAGTACTACGATTAGGAAATTCCAATAGAATTCGGACATCTCTTTGATTTTCTCTTTTATTTTTCATTTCAGGGCTTTGATAGGACAAACACGTTAGCGTTATTCTTATTCATCTGCACGGTATTTTTGCTTGGCCACTTATCTCGCATAGTATTTCACTATTACAAGACTTTAGCAACTCCAAGAGTTAGGAGAAGAGCTGTTAGAACTCAAAGTCGATTATCTCTACCTTCAAGTTCATCGCAACCTCCATTAATTCATTTCTCAGAATCTTCATTATTTGCTATATCTAACGCAGTTGTTATGGCCCCTCCGAAGTATGAAGACTCAATTGCACCACCTCCCTCTTACGAGCAGTCAATAGCAGAGTTGCATTCGACTGCTTTTGACTCGAGATCATCGACACCGGATGATAATAGGCTTAATATTTCGGCAGGAGATCAATCAGAGAGAAGAGATGATGATAGATTAGCACAGATAAGCTCAAGATATGACATTGATAGGACGTCAAACCTGCCTGACGTTGAAATTCAGCCCAGAAACATAATAGCAGGAAGTGAACGCGATTCTCCTCCCCCGCCTTACAGCAGGAATAGTCACATATAATTTTACAAATGGCGAATATGAAAATGAAAGTTACATTATTCAAATAAAAGATAATATAGAGAAATATTTAAAAAAAATCACATTCTCCACGCAGCACCTCAATTCTTTTTATAACCTCAAGAAGTCTATATGGTATCATAGACACTAATAAATTTATCAATCGATTTTATACCTTCGGTAAATGTCAGACTTAAAAACTATACCTAGTTTATAAATATTACTATAACTACTACTATTGTTATAGACCATAAGGAAAAGCTTGTTACTCTTTTCTCAACTTTTAAACTGCCCTTTATTTTTTGTTTACTGTTCCATCAAGAATATTAATATAATTAGTATTAGAAAATCTATGATCTGCAATGATAGAGAATTTATTAAGAATACTCGTTTTTTTTATTAAAATAATACATAAAAAATGTATTTAACTATAAATGAATGAAAAGACTATAAGGATAAGAAAATGCTTTATAGAAGATATAAAATACTGTTCATACTTTTATATTTACTAAATAAATACACATGTATATATTGTATATGCTATTTTTTTTTAGATATTTGTCTTTCTTTTACTCTTTTCCGTTCCATTCTCATTCGCATATGATTGTATACAGTATATATGCACTATTTATATCCCTTTCAGTCTCTCTCTCTCTCTCTCTCTTGCTCTCTCTCAACATTTAAATAATTTTGAAAAAATTATGCGTTAGATAAAACATAATACAAGGAGATTTTCTTATAAAGTGCTCAGCTTTTGTTTGCTAATTGTTTACTGCACTATTCAAATATAAATAATTGATTATATTTTTTTTACAAGTTCACCATAACTCTTATTATATTTTGCAAAGCTTTGTACTTTTATGCTAGCTACAAACTGCAAGGAAAAAAAGGAAAAATATAGACAAAAATTATTAGAAATATTAAAAGTAGGCCTATACTAATTACTTTGTAAAGAAAATATAGTTTTTCAAAGGGATATCGTATTTTAATTAGTACAATATAATAATTTGCTAAAATCCTTGTTAATTAGAAAATTTATTATAGATATTACAATAGAATAACAAAAGCATTCAAACAAATGACTTATAGTAATGATACTTAATAACTAATAAACAATCAAGGGCATTTCTCATTTTGTAACTGAACTTTTAACCGATTAACCGATGTACTGTATGAAAAGTACATTGAATTTTGTAACGGACAAGAGAGAAGACATGCTGCACCCGCATTTTCGTTTATATATTTCTTCTCTTTTAAAGAACCACTTGTCGTGAAAAAATGGTCCAACCAACATTGTTTCTTTATTGGAAATTCCCAAATAAATCCTGTACAAGTGGACGTCTCTTTGCATAACTTACTGCATGCGCTAAAAGTTGTTGCAGATGGCATATTGGTCTGATGGTATGTAATTTAAAAAAAGAAAAGTTAATTAAATAGTTGAAAAACTAAGAAAATAGAATAATTAAGTACATTTTGTATTCTAGTCATATTAACAGCAATTAATCGAGCTTGATCTTTGTATGAAAGGGTAAATTTATTAAAAAAGTATTTATTTATAAAATGAAAAGAGATTAATAAACGATTTTCAATAATTTACCTCCTTTATGAAAAAACCCTTGAACCTTTATAGTTAATGAATCGTTTGTTGTTGAATTAATTTGAATTGAGTCGATAAAAGGCGATGAAACTTTCAAGTTAACTTTCATATTATTTACTAACGGTCCATATATGTTAGGATCATATTCCAGAATCGTTTTTCTCTCTTGAACTCTCCTTTTGGAATCTTTAAACTGTATACCAACAACTGAGAAACTTTCATTGATGACTAAAATAGAAAAGAGTTAAATAAGAAATCACTAATATAATTATTTAAGAAACCATTTGAGGGAATAATCGTAATTCCCGTTAGCCTTGAAGGTCCATCCAAATCAATCAATTTGTTTGCTTTTGAATTTTCTACAAGTTTTAAAAGAAAGGAAGGTTGATAAATGATTTTCTTTGCCCATATAGCAATTTCACATATTTCTATTTTAGCAATATTTTCAATAAGACTAGAAAACACAATTTCGCTCCCAACATGGCCATTTGTACAATTGATTAAATTATTCCCTCTCTTCACTTTAATATCAGATTGGCATACTCTCTTTTCGGTATTTCTAGGAAAGTGTATTTTGCTAAAATCCATTGTAAATGGAATTATTGTATTCAAAAATGCATAGTGTTGTTTATAGTAACTGGATATCTCTATTGAATTCTGTTCAGTTGGAGCAGTAAATCTAATTTGATAAATTTCAAATATACTTTTAAATTTATCAAATACAAGCTCTATTAAAGGTGAGAAGTAAGTAAGCTGCTTGCTTCCCCAATTGACCAATAAATCTGAAGATAAACAAGGATAAATAGGATTCCAATTAAAATCTTTCGTTCTCGCTTTGTCAGCATTATAATCGGCAGTATTATTAGGTTTAAACAAATTTATTTCTTTTATAGTAACTTGATCATTTAAAGATGTAAATTTCAATGTAATTATTTCATCCGACAATATAGTCTCTTTAATTCTTATTAGAAAAGCCCTTATAGCGCTTTCTCTCCAAAAGAACGTGTACCATAATATTTCATCTTTATTTATATTAGTAATGCTATTACATGTATCGTTAAGATTATCATTTAAAAGATATGAATCGTCGCCAACATCTCCAGCAATCCATTCCGAAAAACCATTTAACACAAGATTGGTCGTAGTACCGAGATCAAAATCGGGAGCAACGTCTAATATTATTAATGTTCTATAGATAACTGATGGATTTTCATTGAAAAACTTACATGTTTTATTCCTACTATAAAATTCAATCTCGTCCAAAAGAAATTCGACTCCCATATTCTCAATCTTTAATGATTTATCTTCAAACGGGCATGGAATTTTCATCCAAAAGTCAATGGTACTACTAATATTTCTAGCTAGTTGACAATATTTTGTTTGAAAAGTTAAAAAGGATAATTGTATATGAAATTTTCCGGAAGCGGAAGTAATTTCGCCTTTTTTTAAAGAGAGAAATGCATATATAAGCACTTTAGTTTTTTCTTTTTCTCTGGAAAAGTCAACTTATACTCACGTATAAATAAGCAAGTGATTTCTATGGAGTAGAATGTAGGAAAATCTATATATAAAAATGAGGATTGTTCCATACGGGTACATGTTGATAGGGAGTTGTTTTGAAGGTCATTTAAAGTTGATATTAGTTCCTTATCAGAATTCTTAAATTTTGCATCTAAAGCTAAATTATACGAAGTTGCTTTAAATTCGCAAATAGAATGTTTGTTTTCCAAAAATAGAATATAATCATCCGCTTCTGATGCAAATTCAGGACAATAATAAACAATCGTCTTTAATCCAGTTGACTCGATTGTACAGTTTTCCTGTCGACCATCGGCAAATATATTAACGGCAGACCAACTTGAATAATCTTTAATAAAAATCATTTATCGAATTAATATGCATCTAAAAATAGCATAGTAGTTTCAAAGGTACCAGTAATGTTCAGACTAAACTCTATCAGGACATTATTGATCCTTATACGAAAACCGGAAATCTTTATTGAAAATATCCAGGGCTGGTTTATTGGAAGCGAACACGTCTCAATATTTTTATCAGAAGCACTAAAGAATAAATTTACATACAGAATTAATGAATAACAAATGAGAGGAATGAATGAAAAATGGCAAGAGAGAACAAACTTTTCAAGACTTTGTAATATTAAACTGTTAGAGTCGACACCATCTACTTTAAAAGATGAATTTTCAGCTAAATTATGTTCTGTACTATCTAAAAATGTTTGATTATTATTGACGGTTGAAAAAATCATGATTTTATCATAATAATGAAAAGTTTTCCCATAGGCTTTCAATAAAACAAATGGTATTGTTATGCTTGGGTTAACTTTTTCAAATGCAGTTCTGGCAAGATTTTCCATTTCTATTGCAAGAAAACAAGTCTTTTAACATAATGAACTCTTTTAAAGACAATATACCTTTATTAATAATAAATATTGCCGCCATTCCATATGTTTTTAGCTCAACTAACGTCCTCTCACATTCCTTGTAATTATTTAGTTGTATTTCGTTAGAAATGTTAAATATATAAGTATCATTTGTTGATTGTGCAAGTTCATGAAAGGAAAGCGAGCAATTAATACTTAAATCTTTAATATTAAATCCTAAATGATACATATGGAACTGGAAAGTAAAGTTAAAATTTATGTAAGAAACAGTTAAAAAATAGATTTAGCTAGCAACAATCATCTTTTGATTGATTACCTCAAGGAAAAACTCCACAAAATTGATTGGAACTGATGAAGCATATCTTGATGGTTGAGGAAAGGTTGTTAATTGAAGATTTTGAAATAAACTACTTGATGTAATTGGTAGGATAGTTAAGAACAGCTTCGTTACTATCAGCATTCTATTTCCAACTATCTCGTACTGCTTCAATGAACAAAATAACATTTTTCCCTTAAAGATTATTAATTGATTTATATTCGATCTTGAAGACTAACCAATTCTATAAACATCAATAAACAATATTTATAGTAGTGATTCATTTCTCCTAAGTTTCTCATAAACTTTCTTTACGGTATAAATACTTTATTAGCTATACTTCGAACCACCAATCTACCTCTTTCCACTGGTAAATTAACATTTTTCAATCTTATAACTAATGACAAATAAGATATAGAATTATAGATAAATTGATAAGGAACTGCCCTTATTTTTATTGAAAACCTATTTCTCTTGAAAATAAAAGAATCCTTTTTTTTGTATAATGATCTACTTTTATTTCTATAGATCAGAATCTAACTCATTACAGTTTTAACATCGAATTCCTATTCCTTCTTTTTATCAATTTAAGTGTATTTCAATATTTCGTTACATTTTGGTAGGATTTTTATTTCCTGTAATAATAAACCAAATGAGCCCAAAGCTTGTTGTAATAATAATTCGTATTAAGCCATGGACAATTACATTTAATTTATAAACATAGCATATGAAACTTTAAGAAATTCTGGGATTAGACTTGGAAATAAAAAAGAAACTCTAAATTATACCTTTGAGATAGGCGGATACAAAGTATAGAATTTATATTGTTTTGTATTTCACAGAGATGAGATCTACAAAAGCGCTTAAATTCATTTAACTGAATAGATGCAACAAAAGTACTCTCTACCAAGAAATGGTTGCATAATGCAATATTTTTGTAAGTGTTGTCAATCCAGTATTACGGAAAATAATTTAATTATATAGCGTTTATTATAGTTTATCAGCCGATCAACTTCACCAACAGCTATTTGAGTTTATTCCTAAACTATCTGCAATTTTCATTAAAAATATCGTTACATTGATTTTTCCTTTATGATCTAATAATATATTCTTTGATTTCTTCAAGTGCGCCAATGGGGGTCAAACTCTGGAAAGAAGGCTAATGTTAAGAGATATTTTACTTTTATCTCATCTTTAATGCTACATAGTTTACTTCAAGGCAGCAGCAATAAACAGGAAAAATCATAAATATTTTACTTTAATATACTCTACTAATAATCGCTCTTTCATTATCTAATATCTAAATTTCTAGACTTAAATCGTTAGCCAATTTATCAATAAGTTTATACAGTTTTCCAGCGAGTAGCGTATAAATTATTGATATGATTTTCTGTATTGTAACCAAACAGATCAAACAATCTTTAAGTGCCATATGGATGATAAAACAGGTTAGGCACTATATTAAAACTTTCATCTAATATCCAGAATTAGCTATTACTCTTTCGTTTTTATTTTACATTATTTCCATTGTTTTCATATATACTTATCATGTTTCTCTTTTTAGCTTTGATTATATTATTCACTACAGATGCTTAAGTACTGTCTATAGGATAAACATGTTTTGTTTTTACCTACAACTGATGGCAATTACCTTCCTTTTTCCTTTTGCGATCTTTGCTAAATATATTGCAATAGACTTTTTTTTATATATATACAGTCTAGTTTGCGACAACAGCCATTAAAAATAGCTTCTCTTGGTCTCCTTCTAAAAAAACTTGGCAATTAGTTGAAAGTGACATTTTCTTTTGTTCATTAAACTGTAATTGATCGAGTCTGTCATGATAATGTTACATACTACTTTGATATTTTACAGTGGTAATAAGAGATTAAGTAGCTAAATCTCTCTTTATTTAATCAACAAATGTGGTTTACAAATAAACGCTTAAAAACAAAAGATGTAATTATTAATACTCGCAGTAATCAGGAACAATAGTTATTAATGATAAAACCAATATTATAAGATATAGCCTTGTTAAAGCTGCAGAATCCTAAATGCCTACATACAGTTAAGAGATTTTAACAATATATTATTAAATGGTAGCTCTTTGCACAATTTACAAATTGATTTCTGCTAAAACGCTTCCTGAAAAGATAAAATTTATCCTTTACGACGAAATGAATTATATAATAAACTTATTGTAAAGCTTATATATACTATATATATTATAAGAAAAGTAGATATTTAAACTTTTCGTTTATCAGTGTCACATTCCATATAAACTCTGTTTTTAAAGATGACGGAAAAAGACACAGCACCAAACACAAAAAAAACAGAAACTATCACTCTTGAGCTTTCAAATGAACAATAAAAAATGCAATCTATGAATATCTGCAGTTCTCAGTTTATTATAATTAAAGTTTAGACATAGAAATATATAGGATTCTCTTTCTTCGTCTTCTTCTATTTGGCTTTTGGAAATGTTACTTTCCTTTAGTTTTTGGGAAACTTTCTGTTCCATCAATCATTTGATGAAGTTTATTATGTTTTTTATACAAATCCATATGATCCCTTGGGTCAGGAGTTTTCTTTCCAATAATTAAATCTTCTGCTTTCTTTCTCATATCGTCTTTATCAGACTTCTTATAATTTTGCTTTATGAAGACCGAATCTTTTTTTAAATCGTGTCCGAGTGGATTTTGGTCTCTCTGAGGGGAAACAGGCCTATTTGGTTTATACTTTTCCCCCATATCTAAAGGATTATCGCACATATTGTCATGCATGGATAGAAAGAGAGGAATATATGCCAGATAATCTAAGAAGGAAATTTCGCGGAATGTATTTGGAAGCATTCGATCCATAATGAAGTTTTGTTGATCTTTACTTAAACCACCCGCTATCAGTTCAATAAGAAGAGATTCAGCAGTAATGTAATTTGAATCTCTATCCGATTGCACATTTTGGTAAAACATTGCTTTATACAGTGCCATCTTGCGTTCAATATCAGCTAAATTCGAAATTTCTAATAAGTTTTTACAATGGGGACTGTAGAGAGAAAATTAATATTCATTTTTAGACACTCCCTTCACAAACTAGATGTCAAAATTGGTTTCTAATGTAATAATATACTCACTCCATATGCGTTACTCGTTCCGCTAAGGCAGTCATAACAGCAAACATTCTAAAATTGAAATTTGTTTCCGGTGTTATATCTAAACAAAGTTTGATATATTCCATCTCCCTTTCGCCTATATGACCGACAGATGGAACTGCAGCTAGAGATTTCTCGACGCCCTGAAAAAATGTTTATTTTTCTATGCATTAGTCAACTGAACCTTATGGAATGTAATTGTTATGCTATTTACATGATAGTCAACAACATAATCTCTGTCAAAGTCTTCAACTGCAAAAGCTTTTACGTAACCCTGTACTTTATCAGTTTCAACCAATCGATAATGATTGATGAAATCGATTGTTGCATCTCGTTCGTCCTCCAATTGTTGTTGCGCTTCATCAGTTAATTTTGACATATTAATCATATTTTTAGCGTGTTCTTGAATTTCATTGCCTCCCCTTATCCAAAGAATATTAGCTCTTTTCATTCCAGGCGTGACTATTTAACAGCGTTCAAATTTTTCTATATCGATTCTATTGGAAAAAAAATTATATGTTACTTACTGGTATTGACGTCTAACTCTGGATCTCTTGCCAAAACTTCTGCAGGTACATCTCTAGCGTATTCGGAATATTTTTTATGACCAACCAACTTCCCTCCATCAACAATACGTATAGTATCACCGAATTTATCTTTTAAAATACGGGCAATTTCTCCAGGACTAGCGTCCGGGTCAATGCCCAAAGCCAGTAGCTCGTCGTTTGTTAATTTTGACAAGTCTATCTTCTTTTTTCCCTTTTTCACACCAATAATATTACCTTTGGCATCTCTTTCGAAGTAATCTCCATCAGATTCTAAAAAAGAAGTTTCAAGGCTAATTAGAGATGTTGTAGCTTCAAGATTTGAGATTGCAGATAAATCCTCGCTTTCGCGCCGAAAAGTCTTTAAAGATACAGTTTTACTTATTCCAACCTTAATTTTAACAGAAATGAATAATATAAAGAAATGAAAAAGTCGAAATTTACGAGATATTTCAACTTGATCATTTTTAAACTTGATTCATTAATTTATAAGAGTAGGATTTCTCTCTCTCTCTTTCTCTCTCTCTTTCTCTACTCTATTTAACAATCTACGTTCTTAGCTATCTTTATTTTTTATTCATTCCTGTTTTATCTCTCGTTTCTTGATCGTTGGAGTTGAATTACACTGCCTAGATGATATTTTCTTCGTTTTGTCACATAAACGCCTAATGCTAGATGACTTAACAGGACGATTATTCGTCAAATCGTCATCCGATGAACTTAGCGAAGTTGAAGTTGAACAACGCGGAATATGGATACTAGGCCGCTTCGACGCCATTACGATAAATGAAAAAAAAATTAATAGATCTACAAGCTTTACGTGACATAATTATTGATTTGAACGTTCCAACGATAGACGACAATCAACCGATCAAATATTCAAAACAATTAACGAACCAAATCCATCGACGTCCTCGTCCTTTTTCTTGCGAACCAGATTTCCATGCTTATCTCTAACATATTCGTACTCATCATCAGAGTCTGGTATGCCTTTTCCTCCCTTTTTAATAGTACCAATTTTCCTAAGTTTTGGTTTACCATCAGCACCATATACGATATTACCCTCAGTATCTCTCTCCTAGAAACAATATCAAAATAATATACATATTAAATGAAGTAGATTAGACTAGTTGAAATAAGTAGTTATTTATTGAAAGTTTCTTTCCTCTTTGTATTAAAATGTTATTTCTTTTAATGAATTTATTATCGGTCTTTTTTTTTATTACTAAACAAAAGTATTTGTTTTTTTTATTTAAATCGACAAAACATTAATTAAATTCCTATAACAAAACCTATACTTTTCACGCTAGAATGCAATTTGGCTTGGAAAACAAACAGAAGAATATATACAGTATATATCCTACATTGTAGTATTAAATCATCTTCTTCCTTCTTTCTTTATTGAAAATCGTAGTTGAACGTCTATCATTTGACAAATCAAAGTGGAAATTCAATTTTCTATTATGCTCTTGGCAATTTTTCCTTTCTATTTATGTTTAATTTAGAAACAAGCGATTTAGTTGTAGTAAATTACCTATATTTATATCTATACGTTTATCGTATAGTATATATGATTTTTCATATAGATTGCGAATATTTACAAAATCTTACTTTCAATGAGCTAATCAATAGAGTACAAATAGAATATAATATATTTACTGGAATTTTTACTCTTTCCCTTTCACTCCCTCGTTTAACCCTCACCCTTTTTTATCCTTTTGAGGTTATCCTATTGAAATCAACACACCTCTTTCACTAATACTTTTCAAGAGCCCTCTAATACAGAATGTATCGCAAGGTTATTTAAATAATAAATATAAAAATTACTTACAAAATCATATACTGATTCTTCGTCTTCATTCTTCTTCTTTCTTAATCGTCTTACGCCTTTTTCGTCAGTGTACGACTCTATACAAGAGTATTATTATAAAGTGTTTTTTGTCATTTTCTTAAAAATATATCTTTTTTTTTACCTGTATCACTCTCGTTATCTCCTTTACCCTTCCCTTTACCCCTTCCCTTTTTACCTCCAAAACCTGATATGTCATCCATTTCTCCAGCTTCATTTTGAGCCTTTCGTTTAGCTTCTTTCGATGCTTTTTTAGCTCTATAAATAGTTTTTTTAATTTTATAGTTATAGAAAATCTTTTATTAAATTACTTTTGATGTTTTTCCATCATTTCTTCATAATTTTCGCCGTATTTTTCCTTTCTTTTCCTTTCTCGCTCTGCCTTCCTCTTTGCTTTTTCTTCTAGGTATTTTTGTTTCTCCTCTTCTGTCATCTTTGTAAGATCGGGCTCATCTTCAGAATCGGTAGAGAGAAGATCCTCGCTAAAGTCAGACATATTCCCATTTGGCCCTCCTCCCTTCTTTCTTCTTCCTTTACCGTCTTTCGACGCTTGTGAAATTCTCCGATTTTTAGGATTTTTGGGTTTCTTCCTCTTTTCAAGTAGTTTACCATCCTTATCGTAGATATATTCATGCCTAAGTTGTGAATTTTTGTTTGCAATGTTTCAAGAATTTACAGTATTGATATAATGTTTTATTATACTTACTCAGAATCCGATTCTACAGACGATATATGAAAAGAAAATAGACTAATTAAACAGATTATATTGCTTAATTTATCTTATTAAATATAATAAAATAATGAAGAAAATAGGACTAAAAAATATTGATGTCTTAAAATTTTAATACAGAAGATGGCGCTTTTTCTTACCATATGGTGCGGCAGCTTCATAACCAATTACTTTACCATCTTTGTCAACAATCTTTTTCTTTCTAAATCTTCTTCTTGTACCTCCATCGCTTACCTCGCTATAATAACTATGGGCAGAACTAGGGCCGTGCCTTTTCTTATTCTTTTTGTCTTTATTTTTTGGATCTTCCCAAAATTCGGAGTCTGAGCTATGATAAGATTCACTACGGCTATAGGTTCCGTCCTTCCTCTTTCTCCTTCTTCTAACATGACGCGTTCCTCCAGCACTTACAACGCTGTAATATGAATTTGCGCTGCCTGCGTGTTTCCTTTCCCTACGTCTCCTTCTCCGTCTATCTTGGCCGTCGGGATCTTGGGAACTATGATACGATTCTTCATCTCCATAAGTTCCATCAGCTAACTTCTTTCTTCGTGTAACATGCCTAGTTCCACCGGCACTTTTATGCGATTTGTACGAATATTCACTCTCACTATCTGGGTCTCTCTTTCCTACTTTCATCTTTTTGGCTCTTTCTTTTCGTCTAGCCTTTCGCCTAGCTTTACCAGCTTCGTCCTGAGAACTATGATAAGATTCCTCATCACCATAAGTTCCGTCTGCAAGCTTTTTCTTTCTTTTCACATGTCGTGTTCCACCAGCACTTACCACAGACTTATACGAATATTCCGAATCAGAGTCCTTATTCCTTTTACCTTCCTTAATCGCTTCCTCCCTCTTTTTTCTTCTTTCTTTTCTTCTCTTCTTACCTTCTTCATCTTGAGAACTATGATACGATTCTTCGTCTCCATAAGTTCCATTGGCCAGTTTCTTTTTTCGTTTAACGTGCCGGGTACCTCCAGCGCTTATAACAGACCGATAAGAGAACTCTGAATCAGATCCATCATGTCTGCCTCCAGCTTTAATCTTTTCCAGCTTTTTCTTTACAGCTGCCTGTTTGCGAGTTTGTCGGCGGTTTTGTCTTCTTTTTTGTCCCTCAGCATCTAGTTCACTATGATAACTTTCACTATCACTATATGTTCCATCAGCCTTTTTGCGTTTTCGTCTAACGTGTCTTGTTCCTCCAGCGGACACAAAAGATTTATATGAAAATAAGGATTCATTGCTCTCCTTTCTTCGCCTTCCTTGCCTATATTTCTTTTTGTCTTCTTCGGTCATACCTTTTTCGTTTGGATCTTCATCAAGACCTCTTCCTTTTCCTTTTCCTTTTCCTTTGCCTTTTTTACCTTTACCTTTTGTCATTAGAGCATCAGCATCACCGGGACCTCCGATTTTTCTTTTGAAATAAATATAATTAAAATATGACTATAATTATTAAAAGCCTATACAAACTTTTTGTATTTCTTTCCAGTAAGAGGATCAACATAAACTTCGTAGACAGCACCATCTTTTCCAACAAATCTTTCTCCTTCTTTAGCTTGTTTCAATTGTTCTTCGTCTTCCGAATCGGCGTACACATCGCCAGCATCTTCGAAAGCTTCGATAACGTCATCCTTATCAAGTTTAACAAATTTTCTCAACTGTTTTAAGTCTCCTCCACTTTCCATAAAATCTTTATATTCATTTTCAGACATCAGTACAGTCTTTTCGACCAGCCTACCACTTTTGGTACGTACTTTGATTTTAACAGCCTTCATGGCTGGGCCTTTATCCTTTTTCCAACCTTCAATTTTAGCACCATCCTCAGTAGACATATATTTTCCTATAATTTTGGACGGATCGCCACCAGCCTTGAGTTGATCGTAGTCTTCTTTAGATACCAAAATTGTTTTTTCAACTAACCTTCCACTTTTCGTCCTGACTAGCGTTTTTACAGCCTTCATATCCGACTCTTTCCATCCCTCGACAACGCCTTCCTCCGGTTTGATGTATTTTTTCATAACGTCTTTAACATCTAGCTTACCTTTTCTAATTTTATCATATTCATCTCTCGATACGTAAACTGTTTTTTGAATTAATCGCCCGCTCTTTGTTCTAATTAGTGTTGTAATGGCTTTCTGTTCTTCTTTCTCCCAAGACTGAAGGCCAGCGGCTTCATCTTTGTTAAGATTTTTCTTTAGTATTCTTTGGGCATTCTCACCACCCTTGAGAAACTCTTTAAATTCATCCTCAGTAAGAAAAACCATTTTTTCAACTAGTCTACCACTCTTTGTCCTGATGTAAGTTTTTACAGCTCTAACATTGGATTGATCTCCTTCGTCAATCGCTTCAAGACGTTGCTTAATCAAAATGGCTTGCTGTCTTTCAAGTTCAATTTGTTCAAGCATTGCTTTAACGAACCAATAACTATGCCTATAGCCTCCTCCTACCCGTATATATTTATGCGATTCGCATTTATCGTGATTAATTTTTAAAAGACATTTTAAACATTCCTCAGAAGACGACTATTTTTGGAATATGAATGAATTAGTTAATAATAGTAAATAAAACGTTTGATTGAATTAATAAAACTTACTCTCTTGACGAAATTTTCATCATTTTTAAAGTAATTAGCGAATATTGTATTTTCGTAGGGATTAGGAATACTATCGGGCTGTAATACAATATTTCATTATCCTTATTAATTATGCATAAATTTTCTATTTACATTTGAACTAATGAATTGGTAAACTATTATCCATTACGTAACAAATAATTGCGGAATTACTTAAACCCTTTCAGTTAAAAGGGTAAAGAGAAATGCTGTTCAAACTGAGCTTTTATGCTATATTTGCTAGCAGTAAATCTTATTACTTCTGATCAAGCGTTAAATCTTCAAAGCAAAAGTCTAATACATTTTCAATGGGGCTCATCGTATCTGTCTTATTGACATTATAAAATATTCGCTAATTAGCTGGTTATAGATAGGCTTTACTTGAGAAAAAAGCAAAGTAGTTCACTTGACAACATGACTTTTATTATTGTTCATATACAGAATATACAAAATCCCTGGTCTTTTAAGCATTTAGACTATCTCAAGCCTTTTTTTTATTTTAATAGCATACTTGTATCTTTCAAAAGGGATTTTGTCGTCCAGGCTTAAAAAATCATTGACGAAATAAGATTTTTTACACTATCCTACTAATAGTTAATAGAAAGCGAAAGAGAATTAAAGGAACTCTATTTTCCAATCATCCGTATTTAGTTTTTCTACCATTGTCAATGGTACAATTAAATATACATTAATATCAAATGATCTTTGCTACTAACTTGAGAATGATTATTGAATTTACTTATATATATATATTCTTTTTGGGATTGAATAAAAATTATCCGCTTTTTGGTGCAGTCGTCGAACTCTTTTCAGATTATCCACACTAGGCAATGCTTATTTTTCTAATATATTAATACGATAACATAATCTTACGTTTCTAGTAATATATAAATCTCGAATTTTCCGATATAAAGCTTTGTTAATCTTGTAATAAATATTTAAACTTACTGATTCCGACCTAGTCCTAAGGCTAGGAAGTTTTGCTTGAGAGACATGCTTCTTACTAGGAACCGACCGACTTCTTTGATTAGAAATTGGGCTATCGCGTCTTGAACTATTTAAAGAGTAAGAATTTCTAGTTTGTCCAGTTTGTATAGGCGGTAGAACGTTGTACTTCGACGCCATTTTATTCTGCTACTAACACGAACAGTTAGCAACTGTGTTGACAATTGAGCCGGTTCTATTGAACGGCTGGCGTTCAATAATCCACATTCACAAATATTTCGTGCTTCATTCAAGAAATCCCTTCAGCTATGTTCAAGAGATTATCCGTTCATTTGTTGAACTTGTAAATAAGCTACGCCACCTATGTAATCGGAGACGATTTATCATTAAATTATCTAATAATTTTTACAAGATAACAGTAGAATGTTTCATTTTCAACAAATATAAAAGATATACAATCAAAACTTTTTTATACTTTAATTATCTGAAGTTGACAATAGAATAAAAGAGCTAATGAAAATTTATCCTAAAAATCGATTAAAAGTCAAGTCATCTAATCTAAAATTGGCCAACTTTGAATGAAGCTTTTAATAGTAAAGAAAAATAAAAACACAACTATACTTTCTTAAAAAGTATCAGTCGAATGTTACAATTTAAAACATTTCATATTTCTTATCGAGATATAAAAGTTAACAAGAGTATTTCATTCGAAATCTTCACTATTCGATACGTTTTCCAGATCCTTCCTTGTTTTTTCATTTATCATTATACTGTCTTTAAATAGTCATAAAACGATTATTAATAATATTATGTAAATATTACTTCCGGAAAAGAGTGCGTAAAAAAGAAAAAACCCTCTGTATTTATAAAGAAAAAAAAAGAATACAAACTAACCAAACGTCTCTTATTTTTTCCTTCTTGTAAATAAAAGTTATAAAAGAAAATTAATTGTTTTATTGGGTTTGGTGTTAAGTTGTTACCTGAGGAATTTTATTTATGTTGATTATACTAGGAAAGGAAATTTTACCCTGTTCCTGTAAACAAATTATAAATTTAAGAGATATACTATTATTTATTCTAAAAAGAGGGATTTGAACTTTCAGAAAAGATATTTCAATAAGCGTTGGGTCGAACTTGATGGTTATTAACTTTTTACTTCCCACACAAAAAATTACTGTTTATTCGACTAGTGGCGACTCATATTCATAGGTTGGAAATGCAATAAAAGAGACAGAATGTGCATCTTTTAATCGAAGAAGCACAATATGCGCACCTTCGTTGTTCTTTACCTGATTTTGTCGAGTGGTGGAAGCTTTGCTTTGGAAAAGCTTCCGTCCAGGATTGACATTGACCCTAGCAGAAGTTTATACTGCCACAGTCAATGGCAATGTCCCTGCGACATTCCGTCAAAAATTCGTCTTTTCAAGCCCCATACTCCAGATACAAGTAATGTAAATATGACTGGTAATATAGAAAGTGTAATGAAGTCTGTGGAGACTTCTTTGGAAGCCTACGTGAGTGTTTTAAACTACTCTATCTACATATAAATTAGTTAATAGATACTTTTTACTCTTTCTTTCTTCTTTAACCATTCACCTAATGCATCTTTTTCAACTCTCTTTCTCTAAACAGTTAGCAGGCTCGGTACGTATAATCCTTCTTATGTATATTTCTTGTTTGTTATAAATTTATTAAATCGTTTTTCGCCTCCTCTGAAAAGTGATATAAAGGAAATTTATAGGTGTTCTATACAAATATTAAAACGTGTTTTTAATAGAAAAACAACGATTACATTTAGAATAAGCAGTCTCTTTTCAACAATTAAAAGAGATTTAAGAAAAGTTTTCAACTTTTGAAAACTAAAAAACTTTGATTAGAATGAAAGAATGAATGAATTGCATGAATGAATGAACGAATGAATAAATGGATAAGGAGAGAATAAATGATAATTAAGCTATAATCCAAGAAAATGCTCCAAAAAAAAACGCTATTATTACTTCTCCTAAAGACTCTCTGCGAAATGTATTATTCCACTATAATACAACTTTAAACAATTTAATCTAGTTTAATTAATTAAACATATAAGTAATTCTTATTATAACATTCTTACTGCTTTAACGTATTCTCCTTTTTCCTTTATTTCTTATGTTTCTACATAAAATAACATAGATGGCGAAACTATAAATAGTTAACTGTACAAGATTTCATCGCCATCTATAGGTGAAATTAGCGAGACGCTGATTCCTTTTTGAGGGAGATGATATTCCTTACTGATAGACATTTACTAATAAATAATAAGATAATGTACAGTTTAAGCGATAAGAATCTATTGATTATGTCTTGTCAGATTATTGAAAGTGTGCGGGTTCGGCTACCCTTGTCATCTTCTATCTTAGCGGCAATAGTCATTTTTTTCGTTCTGTACTCTATAGGATTAAGAGAAAACTCTAGAGGAAAAATTCTGATAGAAGATAGGATTATTATCTTACTTTTGAAAGTGTATGTTTATTACGGGTAGTATTTACTAAAATAATTAAAAAGGAAACAACTCGAAATGCAATAAATAAGATTTAAAAACTGAATGAAAATGTACTCGATACATATCAATTCACTATAGTTAACTGTTATTTTCACTTGCCATTCGAGTGATCTATGAGATGCGATAATTCTTAACGAAATGAAAGAGAGCAAGAGAGAAAGGGAGAGAGAGAGAGAGAGAGATGACACATATTGAAAAAATTAAAAAACTAAATTCAAGTTTCTTTTCTCCAACAGAAGGGGCTAATTGATTTGAAAAGATTGAACGCTTGTCTAGAAGGTGATAATGGCTGCTCTGCAATCGCCCATCCAAACTGCAATTCTACTTATTATCTAAAATATATTCCTAGATACAGAGATATCGACGAACAATTTAGGAAAGTAAATATCAAGAATAATTTGAGTTATTTTTAGCTATTTTCTATTGAGTTTTCAATTTACCTTCATAGCTAATTGATTCTCCAAAAAACAAAGGACATATTCACAGTATTCATAAAGGTATGAGCGCCATAGCTGCCTGGCTTCAAGCCCATCACGATCACCATAGCAAATACGAGGATTCTCCCTTCGCAAACATGTCAGCAAAATTAGAAAAATTAAACGGAAGAAATGGTGTTAATTATCTAGTTATTTGTCACCTGATATTATATGTGTCCGATAAGGATAGATATTTGTTGGATCCACCAAATTATGCTGATTGCGGTAGAGATCCAGATTTGAGTGTAAATCAGAGTCGTGGCTATCTTTTGCTAAGTTTACTTAAACGTTACCTACAAAAAATGATGGAGAATGTTAGCTTATTTAATTATTAATTATTGATTTTCAGTCTCTTATTAATCTAATATTTAATTTATTTTCGTTTTGATCTTTACTCAATCCATAGTAAATTGCTGTTGTTGTGTTTTATTCTTTTCTTTAAATTTCAATGTCAATTTGATTATTTTGTGTTTTATTTTCTTTATGTATTTTCTTCTTTCGAAAAGATATCAAGGAAGAAAATTATCTATACAACAAAAACAACTTAATTGCATACAAATCCTCTGTCGTTAGATTAACTATATAAAAAAGTAACTTTTCGTCTTTTTCACTCCTTCTTTCAACCTTTTCTTCTTTTCGTCTACCAGCTCTTTTTCTTAATTGCTTTTTGCTCTCTTTCCATCGTAGTTACTCTGTTTTGCTCCTCCCTCACTTTCTCTCTCTCTCTCTCTCTCTTTTTTTCCTCTCTACTTTCTCTCACACAAACCCTAATTCTTTACTGGAATAAAGAGAGACATATTGAGTTATTTTGTTTTATTTCCCAGTCCCATTTTTTTCTCCTATTTATATATTTTCTACTAATTCGGTAGATATTTTCGGGGCTTTCTATACGGATCTTGCATTGGTTTTAATGTAAAAAAGATAATCGTTAAGTAAACACTTTTTATAGAATCGTTATTGGATAATACGTATATATATTGTATATATATAATATACTACGCCATCTACTGTTTTAAATTATCTTCTAACAAGGCAATTTGTTATTTTTTCTCAAAGTCGTGCAGCAAAAGCAATTGGTGATGCTAAACTGGTAAATTAATTTTAAATGCTCTATTTGTTATAAGTGGGAAAAAGAATTTTTATGTTAGTTTTGTTGATAGTGAAAGCTGCCTAAAAGCAGATTGATGACTCTGTGAGACAAAAGATCTCTTTATTAGATGATGAGGTTTAAAAACAGATAGAGAACTCATTTGGAAAAGAAAAGCAAAGCAATTACTCATAATTGGTGAAAGAAACGTGCAAAATTGCTTCAATAGTTGTTGTTTTTTTTAGTAACAATGAAAATATGCTACTTGTTCTGTATATATACAAATTGAACTCTTATCCCTTCGCATATCTGTTTTATAGTCAATATATATTATTAAAACAGCTAATTAGCTAATAGCCCTAATGTTACGTATCTTGAGACGGCTAATGAGAAAAAGGGAGAATATTTTCTCCTTTGTTACGAGAAAATTTCCCCCGGTAGGGCAAGTGAGACAAAGAGAATTGTTTTATGTATCTAATTTCCTATAAACAACCTTTACTCAGAAACGATAAATTCTCTAGTTATATTGTAGAGTGTTTACACAACAGATATTAAACGTCAACAGATGTAGCTTAGCCATATTGTGAGTAAAACACAGCGGAAATGTGTGCCTAATGAAAAACCACAAGTCACAAATTCATTCTAAACAATCAAATTAGTCGAGGAAACCAATAGTTGATTGGTCATTAGAATAATTTATTTCCATTTTTTTTCTTTTCGAGCAGAATATTTCTTTTTATCAGATTCATCTCAAGAAACCTTTGAAAAATCCTGATGAAAAGCTCTTATAAATTGTGACGTTTAACGCCCAAGTGAGTCTGTAAATCTTTCAGTTCTTAACAATCTGGATAAAAGGCGTTAGTCGTTTTTATTATTACTATTATTGTTATTAGTTTTTTTCTTTATAGTATAAAAACTGTATTATTGTATTTTAACGAATTACAAGCTAAAAAATATTAAGAAGATTAGTACGTGATTAATTTTCTTTCATGATGTTTCAAAGGCTTGACATGCATTTATTGAAGTTTTACAATATTTCCCTGTCCAATATTTATTCAATCAAATAGAAAAACAGTAAAAAATTTATTGATATTTGATACTGATTCGGACTGGAAAGTTTAATAACTCCCTTCCTTAATTACTAATTGAAGAGATTTGATCTTTTATTTACAAAAAGCAAATACAAAGATTAAAAAACTGTTTAAGCGGAAATATACAATGTGGACATAAATCTCCTTCTTTCACTCTCTCTCTCTCTCTCTGTCTCTGTCTCTCCCTCTATCTCTCCAGTTCTCTATCGCCCTCTCTGTCTCTGTCTGTCTATATATATATCTCTCTCTCTTTCTCTCTGCCTCTCATAATCATATTTAATTAATTTGCTCGCCTAACTATATAAAAAAAATTACTAATAAACAAATAGCTCCTTTCTCATGTAAAAATTTTATTACTGGCAGCATTTCTCTTCAGGATGTCAACGTTTGTTTGTCAAAGATCAATTAGACTACCAAGCTCTTGATTATTTAGCCTAAAAATCACTTCTAATATTTCAACAACTTCTTTAGGCTGAATTTCAAAGGAGAAAATTTCCTTTATGGTGATTAACTTTACGTTTCTTCATTTTGGTAGGATAAGTAGAAACACCTTTAAACATATTTATCGTAGTATCAATAGGTGGCGTTAGTATATTTTTATAGTGAAATAAAAGGAAATAGTATTCTATTTGCAGACTTCTTAGAGGAAAGATTATTAAAGTTGGCTGTCCTTTCTTTACTGATATTGTCGTTGTATAGGCTGAAATCATCTGTAAGAAGAAAGAGAAAGAGTGAGATGCCGAGTGGGAAAAAGAGCAAATGTGATTGTCATTAAAGGGAGACAAAGAGAATAATTGAGAGAAATTTATTTCTTTTACATAATCTAAAATATAAAGGTCACTAAATGAAAGCGGCATTCCATCTAAATGAAATAAAGCAAATCGAATAAGGCTAGGCGTCTAAAAGCGAACAATAGACGCTTCATTCGATATTCCGGTCAGTTTCCAGCCGGCTATTGCAAAGCGTCGTGGCCAAACTAGTTTGTCGCACATTCTTCGTCTATTGACCGTAATGCGTTCTCCATCAAATATTCATAAATGCCAGACGCCACTATCTGTTTCGTGGATGCTCAACGCGCCTTACAACTGGCTTCATTATATATTCTAGGAATTTCGGGAGGCGTCTAATGAGTGTCCGGGGATGGGTGAAGCCTTCGGCTGTCATTCCGGAGTGTATTCCTCTTTTTGGCGACATTTTAGTCAACTAGATGATTATTCCATCTTCTGGTAGATATTAATGACTTCTGGAAAAAGAGATAAGAAGAGCTATTCATAGACAAGCAAAACAACTTGAATATTTCATTCGTGTGACCCATGAACTTAGACTATCAAATAAATTTTCTAGCTGGATATTTCATCGCTCCTTATAAGATATTTCCCTCTTTTGCAGAGTATCATTTCAATCTTTTTATTGATTGATCTTAGGCCTCAGAGAATACTGCTTTTCCTTTATAAAGAAAAATAGGAAAAAAAATTCTTTTTACAATATTTAAAGATCCCTCTTTCCCTTTTTTCTCCCTGAAAGATTTTTCGCAGCTTAAGCTAAAGCCATACGCTTTCCGGTTGAGTTAAAAATTTACATAATTGTTAGAATTTTTTCCCTCTCTTTATACTATTACAAAAGAAAGCGTGAGAATATTTTTTTTTGTACCTCTTTCTCTCCTCTCTCTTTTCTATTAAAATGCCATAGTCAGGCGATAATAACAAGCTTATTTGTTTCCTAGACACAAACAGTAAATAGCACTTTATCACTGTGTAATAAGCCTTACAACTGAGTTTTCACCTTTTAAGTCTAATTTCATGTAAAGGTTGAAGTTGGGAAAATTATCGGCATTTAATCAATTAAACTCCTGCCATATATTCTGATGTTATAAATTATTTTATTACTGTTAGTACTGCTCAATTAAAAATCTTTCTAGTGAAATATTAGCTTTCTAACAAATCTGAACGTTGAATCATAAATCTTCCCAACTGGCGCTTTACCTGATTCAATAACGTCTGAATCAATTAACCTCGACATTATTTTCAAGCTTGTGAATTTCCTTGAAATGCAAAGGCAATGAACAAAAAGACCTAATTAACTTTTTAAAGGTGTCGAATTAACTTCCTACATAATACATGAAAGTAAAAATACTAATACAAAAGGCAATAAAACATGGATTATTTATTAGAAAAACTCAACACAAACTAACCAGAGATCATTTTTATTATTTTGTAATAAAACATAAAAAAATCCCTTGGTTAAGCTGAGAACTGTTCAATGTATAATTTATGAAATAATACCTATCGATTTAAATTCAATAGTTGACTCTCCCTCTCTCTCTTTCTTTCTTTCTTCCTCCTCTGCTCTCGGAAAGAAGGAAAAATTTTACATTTAGATTTACAAATATTGCAACTCTAACAAATGAAAAAATCTTTGAAGAGTAATTGAAATTGAAATTCAATTATTAATTTAGGCTTTTGTTGATCATTCGGTCAGCAAAAGTTGTTTGTATAATCTATTATACGTCATCATAAGAGATTCGAATTATTTGAGGTTATCTTACTTATATATTAAATCCCTTTTGCAATCCTCTATCTTCCTCTCCCAACTGTCCTGCACTTTTCCCCTCACCCTGCTCTCTCTTTATATCCTCTCCCCTCCCCCTTCCCGTTCTCTATTCGTCACGTTAATCAGTTTCTATTCTCCCATGATTCCATATTTCTTCGTAGATTATATAATAATAAAGAGTATTCACTCTAATTATTCTTATCCCCTCTACGTTCGTCTATATCAGCTCAAGCGCTTCCGCTTATGTTGTAGGAAAAATTCCCAAATTATCAACTTTGTGAATAGCTAACAGGATGGGCTACTCTCGCCCGCTAAGTACTCGCGCCCTTTCCACGCACTCTCTCCTATTTTGCAGTATGAATTGATTGAGTTTTTTTATGATATTTATTAGATTCTCTCCGTAATTATAGGGTTTTTACGATAATCGTTACCGAATATGGTATAAAGCTACTGCATATCGAGATAAAGTAAGCTTGGAGGCTAGGAAATATTCATAGATAGAGTCCGGGGAAAAGCTTGTCGCGTTCTAATGCTAATCGAGAAATAATTAAATTTTCGAGTTAATAATTGAAAAAGGACAAAGGGTGCATAAAACTGATAAAGAAGACAATGGTCGAATAAGCATTTAATTAGTCTTTTATTAAAATTAGACAGGGAAAAAGAGTAGCATCTTTGTTTTCTCTTATTCCTTCTTGTTTAAAAGGAATTAAGTTATTATTGACATTAGCTGTCGCCTATTTTATTATTAGTAGAACGGAAAACATTATCACCCTCTTATCACTCGTAATTGTTCGTGATTATAGCAAAAATTCCCCTTGTGGAAGAATACAGCCCAATTAACTATCACGTGATCATATCTAATAAATATACCATGCCAGCGGCTTTTCCTCATTTTAGTGCATTAGTAATTTAAGGCAATTATAGAGTAAACGTAACTTGCATTGCCTCTCTTCGTTACATTACGTGACATGTCCTTTTTATACATCTGTGTAAAAAAGCTGACAAGTTCTGTATTAAGCTAAAATGTTCCATAGCAAAAATTTACGTCACGCAATGGGGAATTACAAATCCCTCATCAAAACAATAAATTAACAGTCAGGTGACTGACGCGACAAAAAGTGTCAAGTTTCAGAGTACCGCATTGCATCAAAATGAGAGAGAAAGGACCTAATAAAAGTATAACTAAATATATCAAATAAATGTAGAAGAAGGCGAAGAGCAAGACGTTTCTTTAAATTTTATATGATAAAGAGGAGAGAACTCATTAGAAGGGGGGTAAATAATAAATGAATTATAAGAAATTAATGTGATTAATAAAGAATGTTTTATTCGAAGTTGGAGAATTTCTTAGAAAAAAAGGAGGTTAAGAAGAGGAAGAGGAAGAGAAGGAAGGATCCGTTATTCATTTGCACTTGTTTACTCTTCCAGATGAATGGCAATAATTTATAAGCGCATGAGAATTCCTCCTGGATTTGTATATGAAATGGGCCTAATAAACAAGCTCGACAATTTTATTGATTTCAGTTGAATGAAAGACTTCATTGCCAAAAATGTACTGCGACCGGGTAATTTAAGAGGATTATGCAGAGGGAGAACATATGCTATGTAGAATATTAATGAGAGTACAACCTTATTTGCATTGAAATAAGATACTGCAGAGGACTTATATATTTTACGAAATGGCCTCTTGCAATACTCTGCATAAATAATAAACAAAACATAATTCTATTATTCTATTATTTTGTATATACAGAGTATACTGTATATATTAGAATATATAAATATTTATATATAAAGCTTCAAGAAAGATTTCATCTACTCTTTTTATCAATTTTCTTCCGATAGAAGGTTTTTTACTTGTAATAAATCTATAAATTATTAATAAAAAAAAGAACAGTAAAAGATTCCTTGACGTATTCATTGCCAATAGTGTTGGTTTCTTACAAGTACTTAACTTTATAGAGTTATGTTTGAACGGTATTGCTTTTATATACTCATCGTTTTTCGTATATTGTGCATATAAAGAAGTTGAAAAAACGTATTAAAAAACACGAGTACAGATGGCATAAAACAAAAAATCGAAGAAAGATATCACTGTCTTGTCATTCTTTTACTATTTCATTAATTTTTCATAATTGTTCCATCATAATCTAATTTTATAGGTTTCTCGGGTATTTTCTCAAACATATCATTCCAATCGTTACATAGTGATTCTACTTGACCACCACTGTCATGTAAACCTACTTCTCTTCTATTTACTGCCAACAAACCTTCCTGATGTGTATTTAACAAAACTGTAAACTGTTTGGCTTCGTGGGCAAATGCAATGTGCCACATCTCCCACAAGTCTCGCTCTTTTCCTTTTTTCTGTTCACCTTTCCACCATTGGGAAGGTAGGACACCAGAAACTTGTGGCTCATATCCTTTTGTATGTTCTGAAATGTAAAAACTCTTTTGAAAGTTTCTCCATGACTCTGGATGAGGTGAGAAAGACCACGTGCATATTAATCTGTACATATAGGTCCAAGCATTGTCGGGCACAAATAACAATCCACCGTGAGCGTGTGCCATTGATGGCTTAGAAAGGCTATAGCCGCTAACATCAGTTTTATAACGATATTTTCTAGTGACGGCTTTTAACCAAAGCCAAAATATGCTTGATACAGATAAATCATCTTCTAGTATTAATCCTACCTCTTTAGAGTTGATTCCCGGTCTCCAGGTATTAACCCATTGACCAAGAATTCCCCTATGATGTTCCTGTACTCTAACTTTATAGGAGATATGCGGAGGAAATTCAAATGATTTGGCAGCTTTTAACGTTTCTTCATGAACAGATTGATCTTTTTTATTCCTGTCAATCCAAACGTCTATCGCAACTTTATCTTTTAAATAATTAGCAGCTGAAAGACTCTTAAGGCACTTGAGCAAAGATTTTGGACGATTATAAGCTAGAACAATTACTCGTAACTCTACATCTCTTTCATAAGGCATCCATTTTAAGAAAGTGGCATTTCCTATAAGGAATCCTGATGTATTCTGATTATTTAAGGCATCATCTAAAAGTTTCGGTAAGTAGCCATTTTTCGACTCTTCCGAAAGTGTTAACTTGTCTGATTCTGGTTGTAATTTGTTAGTGGAATGCTTAATGATAATTGGTTGTACTATTTTATTTTTAGGTTCTTTAAGCAGCTTTATATTAGGAGTAGAGATGAGACCACTCTGTTTTATAATATAGATAGGAAGGCAGAAGAAGAAGAAAATCAGAATAGAAATTCGAATAAAAACTGCTCGGTTGTTCATGCTTGGCCGACAAGATTGATTTTCTTCAACTGTAAATATGTTTTATATCTTGTTATCAAATATATATATATATATACTTTATATATATATACTTTATATATATATTGAAAGACATGCATAATAAATAGTGTTGTTTTATCTATAAATGATTATCTTTTACATTGAATAGAAAAAATATGTTTTATCTTGTCTATTGTGTAATTGATATAAACGTAATTACTGGTAGGACACAATAAGCTGGCACATATACATATAAATGTACATTATACAATTGCACGTAGATTCATTAATGCATTGGCTAAAATTTACATAGATATATATGCAAATAGTATTATATCTATATATTTACCTCTACGGTTATACCTATATATTTATATATATATTTGTATACACTTGTACAGATATATCTACAGATTCTAATGTTTTGAATTCCAAAGTGTCGAATTGAAAGTATTAACCTATTCTTTACGATAAACTATCTTAAGTATATATATATATATATATTAGTATATATTACGCCTACAAAATTTTTACTCTCGTGCTTACCTGCTTTTTTTTCTTTAAAACCTGTTAGTTTCGTATTTTTATCCGATTGATAAAAGACTTATCGTATTTGTCTATATGCTATCATAATCTGTGGTGTTCTCTTTATTAGAATGTTCAATAAACAATAGTTCATCTACGCTGATAAATCGCCACTAATACATCGTCAGGCTGTATAATTACGAAATGATAGAGTGAGAAAGAATTGTTCGGACAAAAACTACAACGCCGCCCTCTATCCGCCATATATTTTCTTCTGGCCCGCGTATAGTCAATAATGAGCTGAACAATTGTCAGCCCCTAACCTAGTTATGATTGATTATATGACATCGATACCGAGTTAAGGAGAGAGAAATAGTAGTTTTTGTAAGCTTTAATGTATTCCCGTTAAATAGCCGGATATAAGAAAAGAATAAGATTACATCATTCTTGCCTTACAGTTTACAGTGGAGCTTAAAAGTTTTGCGGGATTGTCTCCCGATGATTCTGGCCTAGTCAGATAAAAAGAGCTACTTGCCGAATACACTCAAACATAATTCAATTTCTCGTTTCATCCAAACATTCATAAACCATATACTAGTGTCAAATTGTTATAATTTGTACACTAGATGGCATTAAGAAAGTAACATCTTAAATTTCCCATTAGAAAAGAGTTTGATGAGAATATCCTAAAACGAAACGAAATTGCGATTGGATAGGAGAGAATGGTAGTTGAAAGGAGGTGGGGGGGGGGGTATGAGAGAAGCGAGAGAGGGAGGGCGGGCTTGAAGTAAGTATAAACACTAAAGAAAACCTTTAAGTGTACGAATTATATATTTTCATTAAATAGTCATAAAAGCAGATGAATTTCAAAGTTCACGTTATACTATACCTAAAATTTAGCATTGAAATTAATCAGTACAAGTAGAATCCAGTGCAAAATATAATATTCTTTCAAAATTAAGAATATTAACGAAATAGAATACAAGCCGGAATCCTTTCAATTCGAACTATATTCCTCCTTAAGAAATAAAAATAGGCGTAGAATAGAAAAGTAAACACGAAATAAAACGACAGATGGCGCCACTTGTAGACAATATCAAAAAACTTTTGTGCTAGTGTATAGCTTAGCATAAAATTATTGATGGAATGATATTTGAAAGTTTAAACTCAATCCATATGCCATATACTGTAAGAGCATATATATATATATATATATATATATATATAGTTAAATGGTAATATCGTATAGGAGTATGAACTCTATGAGTGTAATTTTGTGTATATAGACCCGTACGTTCTTTAGACACTATACAATTTTCTTGCAAAGGTGTTGGTTAGCAGAAATTGGGAGGTAGAGAGAGCAAAGGGATGTAGAATGACGAAAAGATACTTATTGTTGGTTGTTATCGGCAATTGCAAGTTGTAATCGTTGCAGAGTTAAATAAATAAGAGCTTTCGGTCTGCTTCGTTGTGGAAAAAACTGTCTTCTAGTTGACAATGCCTATCCGAGTGTATGAAATTACTTAGCCTTGATGTATACGAAAAGCTTTAGTAAACGTTAATACTTTGAGTGGAAACAGAGTCATCTGATCGTTTATCTTGGCTTCATCAGTTGTGTAAAGGAATTTATAAAAGAAAGGAAAGATTTTTTTAATTAATCAGCAAAGGCTGAAAGATATTTGAACAATTTGATGAATGAGAAACAAATACCGAAGGTTTGCTTAAATCTATTCACGATCGAATGCGAGTTGAATAAGATAAGGAGGATAAGGAGAATTCTTTGCATATTACGGTTTTTGAGAGGGTAATACAGAGGAATTTTTGACCACGAAGTAGATAAAACGGGTGAAGATCCTACAAAGTAGAATTAAATAATTTATTCCAGTTTTTCCTATAGCCCAATAAATTTCACTAGAGGGCATTACAAGGCTTTTAGGGAATGGATTTGACGGCTTGAAACGGTTAGCAGCTATTATTTTGATCTCTAATTGAATAACGAGTCGAGAAAATTAAAAGGCAGTCCTATAAAGATTAAGGGAAAAAACTCAATATGACATTTAGGCTTTCAGAATATAATCAATATTGAGATTTATTTAAAATATGTTAGTCATGAAAAGTTCTTCTACGGATGAATGAAGGGGCGTACAATTGGAAGGTCGGACGAATTGATAAATGAGTAAACAAATAAATAGAAAGACTACATAATACGTTGGTCCTGCCTATTTAGATTTTTTTTAAAATTTTGCTTTGTTTCTCCTTTAAGGATGGAGGGAATATTTGTATATCTCTATTAAGAGTATATATACTGAATATATATGATATGGCGTTGAAATATACTTCATGTTTAATTTATTTAAGAATGCTCTTCTTGTAGAGAGTTACGTCTTATGGATGCAATAAATTGAGATTTAGATTTTTGAAGAGTACATCTTAAAAATTGATAATAAATAAAAAAACTGATTCTAATTGTTAATAATTTAAATATAATATGACGTTATAATTTGCATGATTGAAATTTATTACATACATTCGTGACGAATTGGCAGCTCATTTTTATGTTTAGAGAAAAATCTTACACTATCTCTGCGAGAAGTAAGAAACTTGTAGAGTATGAATTTTCCTTTATCGGGAAATTACATCTTATTTACTCTGTAGTCTGTCAATTTTCCTCTTCTTCTTCTTTCGCTCTTTTCTCTTTTTTTCCGTTTTTACTTTATACCTATGCGATACGAACGTCTCCTTCCGACAGCAAAATTTTCAGTTCCTTATGAGTTACCGCTTCCGCCTAAGCACGTTAATAAAATTAATTAATATTCTATTAAAAAATGATTTAATATCTAAAAATTTAGGGAAAGCTATTAATAGTTTAAAAGTCTTCTCAATAAAAAGAAATATAAGAAATAAGTAAAGTAAGAAAATAAGATGCAAGTTATTTGAACACTTACAAATTCCTTTTCGTTTTAGCTTCCTATTACAAAGCATCGTAGAAATTATTATTTTTAATAATATTACAAGGCGTCCTAAGCTTCCTGGCTTAAAAGTAACTCCTATTTCCCCTATTACTTTAATATTGTTGAAGTAACATAAGCCAAGCATAGTCAATTAGAGTTTGTTTGTTTCGTCAAAATCCAAATAATCTTTTGGGTTATTGTTTATGAAATTTAAAGTAACGATACTCTTTCATTTCTTTAATGTAAGTTAATTGTAGAGGAGAATTGTGGAAAGGGGAAAAAATGCTAGGATTATAAATAAACTAATATATTCTTAAGGAGAGTCAAGAACAAATATTCTATTTAAACAGTCTCGTTAATACTTGACTGCAATACATTGTTTGGTAACGCGAGTCATCAACGCCCGAGGACACAAATCATTAGTAGAAAACCAGTAATTTTTGGTACTTGTTTCAATATTGTTAGAAAGGATTTTTTTTCCAGAATCCCTCCTTTTTTCTGTTTAGAAGAGAGGAGTGAGTAGCTTCTAAAGCTCCTAATCACCAAAAAAGTTTTTATAAGATCCAAAGAAAACACGAAATGTAAAAATAGCTGCAATTTTTGAAATAACTGGGTAATCAATAATTTAGAAAAGTACAGAAGATAATTTTACCTTTTCTCTAGATCAGAGTAATATCTGCCTGAATAGCGAGGAGTAGTAGATGTATTCATTAAAAGGCTATTCAATTTCTCAATTAACTACATTATAGACCGTCTAACTATCTTATAAAAGGAGTAAACAATCCAATATATATTTTTAGCATATTTTAACAGAAAAATTCAGTTTCAATAGTAAAAAAAATATCATTTTTGTCATTTTTTTTATTAAAAAGAGAAGAAAAAAAAAGCATCTAGGTAACCTTTTTTAGCCTTTATAAAATGATATAATCAATTTTTGTTACTCACAGTAAAAAACGTCTTTAGCCTTTTTATTATTTCATTTTACAATCATAGAAATGATCACATGCACACAAATTTTTACTATATTTATATATATTTATGTATATTGCATATATATATATATATATATGCACGTAGACTCATTCATTTATATACTCCTACATTTTCCTTTCATCTTTTTTTCTCTGCCAACCATTTAAATACTGCACTTTTCATAGAGACTTTATTATAAATTTGTTTTTCGTCATTTGATAAATTCCATAAATAGACCAAAATGTTGTCAAAATCTTATAATCCGCGCCAGTAAATCCGTGACAATGGAATAGCTTCTTCAGCGCCACCTTTTGTATCTGTAATAAAGTCATCTAGTTTGTAGATTTGTAGATGAACTATACTAAAATTATCAGACTGTCAGGGACAGTCGTGTTTCAAAAATTGTATTGAATATTATACTGAAAAGATGGTAATATTTCAGTTCTTTTTTTTTTAAATTTACCGCCTAATTCTACATTTTTCCTCATACATAGACGTCGTGACAGGGGTGGATTGCGCGTAATTTTTTCGCCCTTTCATCCACCGAGTCACGTCTCATCATTTTTTTCCTTTTCCGAGTAATTTTCAGTGAAAGAGAGATGCCATTAAATCGCATTCTTATAAATACTTCACTCTAGTTTATCGTTTATCGTTCTTTGTTTGATAAAAGAAATCAGTTTTGACTCTTTCGTCTTTTCTGTATAATTCTTATTATTTAAATATAAAAGTATATCAGGAGATGTTTCTCTCTTTCCCTTCTGTTTTGTTTTTATCTTTCCCATACGTTTTAGCTAATTTGTTTACTTCTAATCAAACATCAATTTACATATAGATACAGTAAATATATATTTGTTTATAAACATTCAATCTGTCATTCATAAATATATTAGTTAAATAATTAAATATAATGTTAATTTTAGGCCAAAAAGGGGGAAAGGGCCAAGAATTATCTATTATTTCGAGTCCCACATACCAATATATTGCTGTTTTACTTTTTTATTTTTTGCAGTGGCTTTCCTCTTTATTTTACATTGTGTATAGTATATTCGAACAGCATCGGTATTACGAAAAGACTATGAATCAGTTTCTATTTGGTACCACGTAGAAAAATAGTTCTAAATAGCACTACTATTCAATAATAAACCCCTACCAGAGAATGAAAATAGGCGGACAAAAATAAAGTGTACACCTAAAGCTGATACAATTTAAAGTGTATCCTTCGTTTTGATATAATAGAGCAAAGAAAAGTTATATAATTGACTAATATTTATGCTAATTGATAAAACAATTTATTAATTATTGAAATATTTTGTTGTTTAGTATTTATACTTGTTTTCCGTATCCGCTTAGTTTATGATGTAAACCTACTTAAATCTACTATGAAATTCATATTTCCTTATTCTTTGCTTTCTCATTACATTTAATCTTATTAAATAAGTCACTTTTCTTGATTTTTTTTCATCATTTTGTTCCTAGTTTCCTTTTAGACGAATGTGGTTGAGTATAGCGAGATTTTTTTGTGTATTTACATTTCATCAAACATATGATACATATAAATATATAAACACAAGAATGCAATCTTCCTTAAATAACAACATATACAGTTTTGTCAATATTGTTGAGTATATGTTTATATAAATAATGTAAAGTAAAGAATATGAATATTCACCAAATACAGATGGAGCTGCAAACGAAGAGGCAAACTTTTGTCTGCCAGCTACTTTCTCGTCAACGTCGAAGTAAAGCGGTGAGTATTTAGTTTTAGTAATATTTTATTCCAACAATTTAAAGGCCAAATGGAAAGAGTTTCTCTTTCTATAATCCTTCGAGAAGGAACGTAGATAAAAAATGTATATTTTATTTATTTATTAGGCCTGTTTTTGCGTTTTTTACTGACTTTTTTTAATTAAATAGAAGAAAACTGAGAGCTAAAATTAGATAAAAAACCAGCTAAAGGTAAAACGTCAAAATACAAGTTTTATTTCAAATTCCAAATAGAAAATAGTAAAGAGAAAAAATTGAATTTCTATTCAGTTCTAACGGCTCTGATTATTTTATACGAAAATAATGAATAAAAATCTACAAATACGCTTTGGACAATCTATTTTCTTTTCTTTTCAATGAGTTGATTGGAAAATCTTCATTTCGGAATGCGAAATGAACTTTTTCCCTGTCTCTCTTTATATTTTA